TGCGGGGCAGAGGTCGCAACCGGGTACCCGATACCCGTACCCTACCCGATACCCGGCTACCCGTACCCGGCCGGGTACGGGTAGCCGTTTGCGACCCTGGTGCGGCCGGGTACGGGTACGGGAAGGCCGTGAGTCACTGGTGAGTAACCGTTTGTCACTCATTTCCCAACGTCTTGTCTCTTCTCACAATTAAAGTTCCTAGAATCAACCCACCCGCGCCTGCAACATGGGTTCATCCCAGAGGTTGCAATCGGGTACCTGATACCCGTACCCTACCCGTACCCGGCCGGGTACGGGTAGCCGGGTATCGGGTAGGGTACGGGTACGGGTACCCGTTTGCGACCCTGGTGCGGCCGGGTACGGGTACGGGTAAGGAATCAAAACCCGTTTGCGACCTCTGGTGCGGGGGGAAGGACAACGAACTAAACATAAAAAGATAAATTAAATAAATACACGCGCGTGTTTAATTTCATCATTAAAAGCAGCACTGCAAAGGGATACCGTGTGGCACGTGTGATGCACTAACCACCACGTGTGTGTTGGGTTAGTCCACGCGGTGGTTTTTATGCCAAAATCCGTGTCGTTAATCCTCCAACCGCCCGCCAAGATTGCAACGCTTACACAGACATTAGTAATACGTGACCCACGTACCGATCGATTTCTGATCGATGAAGCCCCCTCCTCATGCTCCTCCGCACCGGTGGCCGAGGACATTTTCCATGGCTCGATTTCCACATCGGCTCTCGACGACGTTTCGCCCAAACGGACGCGAGGCACGTCAAGGTTAACGAACTGGGACCTTCTTCTTGGTTCTTTCGGTAAAGTCACGTAGAATGGAAATAATAAAAATAAAACATTATAAAATAATTCTCACGACGTTTCGGCCACAACGCAAGCAACCGTCCTCGGGTGAAGAACAGGTCTGTCGGAAAGACAGCGTCTGAATGAAAAATATACGCTGCCAAGCCTGGTGGTTTTCATTCAGACGCTGTCTTCCCGACAGCCCTGTTCTTCACCTGAGGGCGGCTGCTTGCGTTGTGGCCGAAACGTCGTGAGAATTGTATTTTATTATGTTTTATTTTTATTATTTTATTATTTCCCTTCTACGTGACTTTACCGAAAGAACCACGAAGATGAATCCCTGCAGTCACGAAAGCTTTAAATCGAAATTTTATAATGTTTTATTTTTATTATTTTATTATTTCCCTTCTACGTGACTTTACCGAAAGAACCAAGAAGATGAATCCCTGCAGTCACGAAAGCTTTAAATCGAGATTTTATTATGTTTTATTTTTATTATTTTATTATTTCCCTTCTACGTGACTTTACCGAAAGAACCACGAAGATGAATCCCTACAGTCACGAAAGCTTTAAATCGAAATTTTATGTTTTATTTTTATTATTTTATTATTTCCACTCTATGTGACTTTACCGAAAGAACCAAGAAGATGAATCCCTGCAGTCACGAAAGCTTTAAATCGAAATTTTATTATGTTTTATTTTTATTATTTTATTATTTCCACTCTATGTGACTTTACCGAAAGAACCAAGAAGATGAATCCCTGCAGTCACGAAAGCTTTAAATCGAAATTTTATTATGTTTTATTTTTATTATTTTATTATTTCCCTTCTACGTGACTTTACCGAAAGAACCAAGAAGATGAATCCCTGCAGTCACGAAAGCTTTAAATCGAAATTGAACTCTGACCTATCGGGCGTGTTCTCTCCCGTGGACAGCTGCCATTCAAGGTCCTGCGGGGTCATGCCGGGGGCATCAACTGCTGCCACTTCGGTTTCGGGGACACGCGCGCAGTCACCTGCTCGGAAGATCACACGGCGAAGATCTGGGTGAGCGGACGTTCCGAACCTTGAGCGGCGCACAATCTAAGCTCGCCTCCTCTCCCCCTATGTCGCTAAATGTTGGTCACGTGGACTTATGGTGGACGTTGTCGTCGACCAGAATGGATCATCACAGTGCTTGGTGTATTGGCCACCGCTGTTGTAGATTGTCGAGTTCATTTGTTTCACCAGGATCGATTTGAAAACCCATTTCTTTAGAACTGCTTGTTGTTGTTGTTTAGTTTGTTGTCCTTCCGCTGCACCTTCTATTATTGCCTGCGTACGGTGCGAAAGAAGTTCAACAAACGTACGTACAGGCTCAGGATACGTCTCGCTTGCAAGAGTGACCCAGACTATGATGCAAGGTCTATGCTCTGTGTCTTCACGAATCCTCGCTGACTAGCCTGGTGAAGTATGGTCAAATAACCCTCAGGACTCACACGGCAGTGGGGTACTGTACTGTGGAAATTAATTTCTGGCTTCATGATAATCTCCTTGCTGCAGGACACTGAGACTGGGAGAATCCTCAAAAGCTTTGATGACGCCCACCAGGATAACATTACCGAGTGCTCTGTCAACTCTACGAGGGGCAGGTAATTGTCCTACGCGAAGCGTGGAGTCAGCGGCTTAAGGAGACCCTGGCTTCGTGGACACTGATATACAGCAGGACAGTGGCAGACAGTCGTTCCTGGCCCTGGGGGAGCAGATATCAATACTAACAATGATTATTACATTATATGTGCACTACATACAAAGGGCGCCACGGTTGTGAGATATTAACTATCTCGCCTGGTATACATGAAATCGTAGGTTCGATCCCAACACTGATACCTGCTGTATATTTGAAGTTTTCGTGTCCTACCCGTGATTACGTGGATTTTTTCCCCGGTCCTCCGGTTTTTCCCTCTCCATTTAGAAACGTGCTTTAAGTGAATTTGGCTGCCGTAAATTTCCACATGGTAAGCCACTTCGTTGGGCTATCATTTGTGGCCAAGTCGCTTCTGAAAAAGAGCTAACACAGCTCAGTGGGCCTCAACCTGGAAAATAAAAGTATTTTAGTTTAATGTTGAACTTCTTTCACACCATACGTAGCCAAACAGGAAAGTCAATACTGAGTCCGAATAAATCTTGACTTAAAGCTTTCGTGACTGCAGGAATTCATATTCTTTGGGTCTTTCGGTAAAGTCACGTAGAACAAAAAGAACAAAAAAACATTTTACTTTACAAAATACGACGTTTCGATCGCAACACAAGCAATCGTCATCAGGAGAAAAAGAGGGGAAAGCTGCTGAGGCAGGCTGTTTTAAAGGTTTGAATGGGTGTAGCCCAAGGGTCATAAAGTGAAAAATTTGTTCTACGTGACTCTATCGAAAGACACAAAGAATATGAGTTGGAATACTTTTTTTTCTGGAGGGTCCTGTATTTGCGTGTTTGGCCAAAACCAGTTACATTGTAATTTTTTTTAACTATGGGGAGAGGTTCCGAGAACCCAGAGGAGAACATCTAAAAGTCCACACGCAGAAAGGCGCCTCCGAGTAAGGGAATCAAACCCAGGACCCTTCTTGCTGCAACGGGCGATTGTCAAAACTGCCACCAGCGGCTTTGGCCACGATGCCCTCTTGATCTTGGAGTGACCTCCAGGCCACCGGTTAGTTTGTCTTTTCTCGGCAGGCTTTTGACAGTGTCATGGGATAAGGCGATGAAACTCTGGGATTTGGAAACGGGGAAGCTGCTGGTGAGTGTTTATCGTTGAGTGTCTGCGTGTACAATGATTCACGTTAACTCCGCTTGCGGCCAGCTACGTGATGGTCCAGAATCAGTTTGTGAAGTCCACGATCCCAAGTGAGAATGCACACGTGAAATTTCGATTTAAAGCTTTCGTGACTGCAGGGATTCATCTTCTTGGTTCTTTCGGTAAAGTCGCGTAGAAGGGAAGTAATAAAATAATAATAAAAACATAATAAAATAAGTCTCACGACGTTTCGGCTACAACGCAAGCAGCCGTCCTCAAGCTTGGTGATGTTTCATTCTTCACCTGAGGACGGCTGCTTGCGTTGTGGCCGAAACGTCGTGAGAATTATTTTATTATGTTTTATTTTTATTATTTTATTACTTCCCTTCTACGTGACTTTACCGAAAGAACCAAGAAAATGCACACGTGGTCAAACAACTGCCATGACCAACACGTTTCGGGTAGCCCTTCACACAGCAGTGTAGGATTGACATAGGACTGTGTAATTATTATTATTAATTTATTGGAGACTGCTTTCTCAAAGTTACCCGAAATGGATTATACACACACAGCAGGAATCATCGCCCCATATTGGCAGACTAATGTCCCAGGATATTCTTGAAAATAAGACTCTATCCTGGTCTCCTGGTCCCTTGAGTTCTCAGCTGATTAAACAAAACCAACTTGACATTTGAACTTTGAACCTCTGCAGATGTGCGAGACGCACGCTTGGCCGTTGACGTGCTGCGACGCGTCTGGCGACGGGCGTCTGCTGGCCACGGCCACCGCAGTGGACCGTTCACTCCGCCTGTGGGACGTGGACAGCGGCTCGCTCGTGGTGCAGCGCAACGGTGCGGTGGTTATTTCCACTGCGACTACTACGACGAATTATTATTGTCCGTGACCAGGGGGCGGGGGGCGGGGGGGAAACTGCGGCTCCAGAATCACGTGCGGCTCTTGAAGGGATGGCTTGGCGAGAGTTATTCGCAGGCATTGCGGCTTTGTGAAATATTGAGAGGGTTTTTGTTATTGTTGTTGTGGTGCCCTTATAAAACTCAGCGTTTAACCTACTCACGCCGGCTTGTGCCCGCCCTCACAGTCGGGCATATTTGCGGAATACACCACGCCGCCGTTTACACTGGCCATTGACCGAGCAATCCAACGTTCCTACCAGCTCCCTCCGCAGGAATATGTTGGATAAACTCCACGCGAAGAAAGGGGCATGTCAACCACTGCACGCCACCACCCTGCCTCGCTTGAGCACTTCACGTGGCGAGGTGATTGTGCATCTTGCGTTGTCCACAGATCACCACGAGGGAGCGCTCACGGGATGCAGGTTTGATTGCGGTGCTCAGCGAGTCGTGACCTCGTCGTACGACCGAAGCTTCAAGGTGTGGGACCTTGCGACACGCGTGGCTACGGTCAGCGTGGCTGGGTACGTGGTGTAATACTATCACTAACGACGACGATGATGCTGATGATGATGACCATCATCATATTCTTAGTTTGTTTCGGTAAAGTCACGTAGGTAAAAAAATTAATTAATAAAAGTAAAATAAAAATCACAACGTTTCGGAGGCAACACAAGCTTCCGTCTTCAGATGGAACCGTCACAGCACGATTGCTGTATCTTGATACAGCTATCGTGATTTTTATTTTATTTTTATTTTACTTTTATTAATTTTAATTTTTATATTTTACCTACGTGACTTTACCGAAAAAAACTAAGAATATGAATCCTTGCAGTCACGAAAGCTTCAAATCTAGAATCATCATCATCATGATCATAATCATCGATAATTATTGAGTTGCACGTGGTATGGGCGCTATCGTTCGCATAGCGAAGGACGATCATAAAAACCAAAACAAATAAAACCTCATTCAACAAAGAGCGACAAGTCCTCGCTTTATGCGCGCTCACACGCGAGCGCCTTTTCGCTAAAACGCGGTTCTTCCATTCGGGAACACCTTTCACACGACGCGGAACGCGCACCGTTCTAGAGCGGAACACGAACCCCCGTTCTATCGCGGAACTCGCCGGTGTCTGAGCGGTCGACGAACAACTTTCTTGAGCCGCAGTGACGCAGCGCGCTGATTGGTCCCGCCATCTCGCCGTGTGGCGTGCTTTAGCGAATCGCATTACCGTCACGTCGCCTGTTGGTCCACAATCAAGGTTTGAACCTTGATTGTGGACCAATCAAGGTTCAAAAGGGAGCAGCAGTAACTGCAGCAGCAGCAACTGCAGCAGCAGCAACTGCAGCTCCCTTTGATGCTGTTCATCCTGCATAATGCACATGCATATGCAGTACTAATCACATTCCTGCATTTCCCATAAATATGCTAAATTCCTCTTGATATGCACATTCCTTTGTCAATGCGCCCAGCTTATATATATGCTCCAAGCTCGTGTGCTGTTTCATTCAGACTCTGTCGCCTCGACGGACCTGGTTTTCACCTGAGGACGGCTGCTTGCGTTGTGGCCGAAACGTCGTGAGAATAATTTTATTATGTTTTATTTTTATTATTTTATCACTTCCCTTCTACGTGACTTTACCGAAAGAACCAAGAAGATGAACACCAAAGCGCGTTATAACGAGCGCTCGCCACTCGCCGTTCGCGCGTGGACAGGTCGCACGCGAACGTGCTCTCCGACTGCCGATTCGGTGCCGGCGGGCGCCTCGTTGCTACGGCGTCGTGGGACCGTACTCTCCGCCTCTGGGACGTGCGGACCGGAGCCTTCCGTGAGGACGGACCTCTAGAATTGCGTGGGGGTCACGGCGGCTCCGTCAGCTCCTGCGCCTTCTCGTCCGATGGTAAAAAACTTCATAACTGCGCCGCCGTTTCATGCCGCACAGTACGAGCTGGAACCGAACTTGATTTGAAGCTTTCGTGACTGCAGGAATCCATACTCTTTGGTTCTTTCGGTAAAGTCACCCAGCTTTACCACCTGATGACGGACGCTTGTGTTGCGCCCGAAACGTCGTGATTTAATTCATTTTGTACCTACGTGATTTTACCGAAATAACCAAAGAGTATGGATCCTTGCAGTCACGAAAGCTTCAAATCTAGAATTATGTAAATTATGTTGAGATAAGATTTCAAGTTTCATTTATTAGGTATAGCCCTGTGAGCCATTCGACTCTTGAATCGGGTGCAACCGCAACAAACAAAAAAACAAAAACATGAACAAGAAAACATCTTAAAGTGAATATGTGCAAACAGAAAATCTTCCCCCACCCACCCACCCACTCTGCAAGGATACCATCCGTCACCCTCCACCTCCCACACACCAAGTCAGCGCCCTTAGGCAGACGTGGCACGTGCAGTCGGTTGGCGTGGTCGTTGCCAACACATCTGATTCAATCTTGATTTGAAGCTTTCGTGACTGCACGTCTCCTGGCTTGAGAATGGTAGCCGAGTGTGTGGGTGAGTGTTTGCGAGCTGTGGCAAAGAGACAGCACTGCTGATGATGATGTTGATGTTCCTTGAAAAAGGTTTCAGTTTGGTGTTTTAACATCTTAACACAACTGGTTTTTATTGCCAGAAAGGGTATAAAACCTATTGTTACATTTCGATACTGGCAAAGGAGGTCCCATGATGTAGCTGCTAACCCCGAGTTCTCAATGCCCTGACAGTGGCATTGCCTTTGTGCTGTTCGCCTTTTGGCGATGTCCTCTGGGTCTACCGCTGCGTGAGGCTAGGCTCTAAAGAAAGCTGTCTCTTGTGTGGACCAATCAGTTTCAAAGACAATGCATCATCATATACAGTACTACCAGAGCATGTGTTTTTTTAGTTTGCATGTTCACCACAAGTATCTGTGGTTAATGCGGTACATGATTCCTTGCAAAAGGTTTCAGATTGGTGGTTTAAACATCTTAACACAACTGTTTTTATTGCCAGAAAGGGTATAAAACCTCGATTTAAAGCTTTTGTGACTGCAGGGATTCATCTTCTTGGTTCTTTCGGTAAAGTCACGTAGAAGGGAAGTAATAAAATATTATATTATTATATTATAATATTATTTTATTATGTTTTATTTTTATTAGTTTATTACTTCCCTTCTACGTGACTTTACCGAAAGAACCAAGAAGGTATAGAACCTATTGTTACATTTCGATACTGGCAAGGGAGCTCCCATGATGCTGTTAGTCGTCGTTAAATTGTGTTCATCTTGTGCGCGACCGTATCCTTTTGGAAGCCTCCCTGCTCGTGTCTGGGGGTCTGGACCGACGCTCCGTCGTGTGGGACGCCGCCACGGGCAGCAGGGGCGCCGTGCTGAAGGTAACAAAAATAAAATATGAATTTAAAAAAAAGTTTTTAAAAACACGCTTTTATGCAGAACCTACCTGGCGCACACGAAGTAGCACATCGCGTAGAGATTCATAGCAGCCATCCAGCAATAAATCGATCGTCACATCGTAAGCATGAATGTACCGTAGTAATGGAAGAACTCCACGACTCCAGGAAGTGGCCCCGAAGCTTGCCATAACGTAAGGGACCGTGGGAAAATACAGCCAACGTCAGTTAACCGTGGACAATTAGACCCAAGCCGAAACATAACATAAAAAAAATGTTTAAATTTTTGTTTTTATGATAGAATATAGTATTTTAAAAAAAGTTTTTTTTTAACACGCTTTTATGTAGAACATACCTGACCATCCAGCAGTAGATCGATCGTCACATCGTAGCACTTGATCGATGAGCCGGGCTTCCTCTCGAACGCCGCGGTGGCTAGGAGATGTTGACTGCCTCGCCTGGTGTGCAGGAGGTCGTGGGTTCGATCCCGACCCTGACGCCTGCTGTATGTTTAAAGTTTGCGTGTCTCTCTCTCATCATCGACATCACGGTGGCTAGGAGATGTTATCTGTCTCTCCTCGTATACAGGAGGTCGTGGGTTCGATCCCGACCCTGACGCCTGCTGTATGTTTGGAGTTTGCGTGTCTCTCTCTCATCATCAACATCACGGTGGCTAGGAGATGTTATCTGCCTCTCCTCGTATACAGGAGGTCGTGGGTTCGATCCCGCACCCTGACGCCTGCTGTATGTTTGGAGTTTGCGTGTCTCTCTCTCATCATCAACATCACGGTGGCTAGGAGATGTTATCTGCCTCTCCTCGTATACAGGAGGTCGTGGGTTCGATCCCGACCCTGACGCCTGCTGTATGTTTGGAGTGTGTGTGTCTTTCTCTCTCTCTCTCTCCGTGGCCACGTGGATTTTTCTCCGGGTCCTCCCGTTTTTCCCCTCCCACATTTAGAATTGACATCATCACGCGTTCCGAATATTTGGCTGCTGTACATTGATCAGCCACTGATGTCAGCTTAGGCCTAAATCCGTCCTCGCGGGCAAAAGGCAAATCTTTGATGTCAAATCACAAGAGACGCCTTCAAACTAAAGTGACCAATATCATCCATAATACAGGGTGTTTATTTTTAGTTAGATCGCGTAAATATATTAACGTCTCAAATTTAGATATAAAGCTTTCGTGACTGCAGGGATTCATATTCTTGGTTCTTTCGGTAAAGTCATATTTTTATTATTTTATTATTTCATTGTTTCCCTTCTACGTGACTTTACCGAAAGAACCAAGAATATATTAACGTGTCGTTAAACCCGCCACCACCCGACACAACCAATTAGTAAGTTTGACACGTAAACAGAACGTGGCCAATTCGTCACTAGTACATCACACCGGTGTGTTGGAGAGCAAAGCCACAACATTTACAATCTGAATGAAGACGTTTCATCAGTAATTACAACTGGTGTGGACCAATCAGTTTCAAAGACAATGCATCATCATATACCACCAGAGCATATTTTTTTTGCATGTTCACCACAAAGTCTTACGTGTTTAATGCAGTACATGATTCCTTGCCAAGAGGTTTCTGCTTGCTGTTTTAACATCTTAACACAACTGGTTTTATCATGGCCAGAAACGGGTTGAAACCCAAAATTGCGAAATCGTCACCCCGTTGGAGGGAATTATCCGCAGGCCCCAAGCAAACGCCGTCGTTCTTTGTGCTGCGTGCAAGGGTCACGCGGACTGGGTGATGGACGTGGACGTGAGCGCGGACAAGCGCTGGGTTCTAACGGCCTCGAAGGTCAGAGAGCGGACACGCTTTGCTCAGTTGCTCGATCTGCGAACGCCCCCCCCTTCTCGCCCCCCCCCCCCCCCCCGGTTTTTAAACTCGTCGGAGGCTTTCACGATCAATGTTATCCAACACATTCCTACGGAGGGAGTTGGTAGGAACTTTGGGTTGCTCGGTCAATGGCCAGGGTCAACGGCGGCGTGGTGTATTCCGCAAATATGGCCGACTGTGAGGGCGGGCACAAGCCGGCGTGAGTAGGTCAAACGTTGAGTTTTATAAGGGCACCACGGGGTGACCAGCTCCTCCCCACCCAGCCCCACCCCTCCCACCCTCTACCCAGCCCCACCCTCCCCACCCAGCCCCTCCCCACCCAGCCCCTCCCCACCCTCCCCTCTCCACCCAGCCCCACCTCTCACATTTTTGGATGCACGACAGACGGACGGACACAATAATCCCCTGTGGGCTGGTGGAACCAGGTGGTTCCTATCAGTATAATGTTGACAAGTGCTGTCTCTCTTCACCAGTGGTTCTTCTTAACCTGGGGGGTGCACGCCGTCTCTGGGGGGTGCGAGATGCCCTTTCTGGGGGTGCGACACGTGGCCATATTTGTTTAAGAATCTAAATCATAGATAAATAAATTCAACACGGGCACGTTAAGTACAACTGCTTTGTTTTATTAAACCCTGTGTATTTAACACGGTGGCTTGCGCGGCCGATATCTTCCATAATACAGTTTTTTTTTTTATTATATTTCGTAAATATTTCAGTGTGTCGTGAAACCCGCCACCACCCGACACAGCCATTTAGAAAAGGTTTGTCACGTAAACAGAACGTGGCCAATTCGTCACTAGTGCCGCAACGCCGGTGTGTTGGAGAGCAAAGCCACAGCATTTACAATCCGAGTACGACGTTTCGACAGTAATTACAACCAGCTTCGTCAAGCGACACTTTGCTCAAGCAAGAAGGGCTCACAAGTGATGTCATCACATCTATCAAGGAGCGAAACAGGAGGAACCTCTCCAAAAATCCTATGCACTCCAAAACCTCATCGGCCCGCGCGGTCTTCGGTGTGATTGCCCAGCAGCAGAATGACACGAGGCTGGGAGGTTTGCGCTTACGCGTGTTGCTCGTGTTCGACAGGACCGCACGGTGAGACTGTGGAACATTGAAAACATGGACCGCATCCCAGCCGTGATGGGACGCGAGAGCGAGAACGAGTCAAGGGTCTTGCAGGCGAGTCCTGTTACTTGACCGCGAATAGTTACACTCAACGATGGTGCTCAATAGCTGGCTGGCTGGGCGGCGGTGGCGGCTATCGGTGACGGACCGGGGACTGGAAATCGGTCCCAGGCTTTTTGTAAACACAGCAGGAGGAGAAGGGGGCAAGTTGCGGCTTGATTTCGTTGGGCCCCATTTGGGGGCTGGGTCCCAAAAAAGGGCAAATGGGGCCCGATCCTCAGAGGGGATGCGCATTCTAAATGTGAATTGTGGTTAAATTTCGATTTAAAGCTTTCGTGACTGCAGGGATTCATCTTCTTGGTTCTTTCGGTAAAGTCACGTAGAAGGGAAATAATAAAATAATAAAAACTAAAACATAATAAAATAATTCTCACGACGTTTCGGCCACTTTCAGACGCTGTCTCCCCGACAGACCTGGTCTTCACCTGAGGACGGCTGCTCGCGTTGTGGCCGAAACGTCGTGAGAATTATTTTATTATGTTTTATCTGTATTATTTTATTACTTCCCTTCTACGTGACTTTACCGAAAGAACCAAGAATAAGGATAATTGTGGTTATTAAGGAAGCATCTTTGGGGCTGCCGATTATAATGGTGGACTTAAAACCCAAATCGGAGCGTAAACAAGCAATGAAGCGCACACATTGGAGGAATATAGGGTGCTTTAAAAAATGTTGACACTTATATGGGACTATCGTTTTTAATGGGAAAATAATGGATAATAATACTGTCACATTATAGCAGATGTGCGAATTTGCGACAGCACCACAAGAAATGTACCCTCTAGGCTCTGGAGACCACCTGGAGAAGATTCCAGGCACGCGTTGACAACGATGGCGAACGAGTGGGAGGCTCTTTGATCTTTCTGAAGCTATAAACGTTACATTTGTTATCATATTCTTTCGGTAAAGCCACGTAGAAGGGAAATAATACAATAATAAAAATATAAAACAAGAAAATTCTCACGACGTTTCGACTGCAACACAAGCAATCATCGTTAGGTGTGAAATCCACAGCAAGAAAATTTGAAAAAAGTGGCGGTCAAATTTTCTTGCTGTGGATTTCACACCTGATGACGATTGCTTGTGTTGCAGTCGAAACGTCGTGAGAATGTTATTGTTTTATATTTTTATTATTTTATTATTTCCCTTCTACGTGACTTGACCGAAAGAACCAAGAATATGAATCCCTGCAGTCACGAAAGCTTTAAATCAAACTTTGTTATCATGTTAACAGTGTTATATTATCCGTTCTTTTCCATTTAAAACGATAGTCCCGTGTAAGTGTTAAAAAAATTTAAGCACACACTCTATTTATTTATTTATATTTCTGGCCACATTTGCAATTTCCCCACACACACACACAACGGCCCACCGACCCTCGGAAAGGACCCCGGCTCCTATGGCCATTCGGGGCCTGGTGGATCTCCCCACGTAGGTCGACTCAGCCTAAAGATGAGTACCTGGCACGGTGTGTGGTAAAGATCAGCATTGGGAATACAAAGACGGCTGGGGATGGTACTGGTAACACCCCCCACTCCACTCCCTCGTGTGCTGTACCGTGCCTTAATATAGGCGTTGTTCGCTAACAGCACTTGCCCTAACAGTCTGTTGTAGGCTACATGGGTGATCTTTGTCTCCTTCATAGGCATTGTTCGCATACAGCACTTGCCCGAGGCGGTGTTCGCTTACAGCACTTGCCCCACCAGTCTGTTGTAGGCTACACGGGTGATCTTTGTCTCCTTCATAGGCATTGTTCGCAAACAGCACTTGCCCGAGGCGATGTTCGCTAACAGCACTTGCCCCACCAGTCTGTTGAAGGCTTTGTCTATGTATCCTCCATAAGTGATATTCGCTCACAGCACCTGCCCTAGGTGATGCTCGCTCACAGCACTTGCCCTAGGCGATGTTCACACACAGCACTTGCCCTAGGCGGTGTTCGTTAACAGCACTTGCCCCACCAGTCTGTTGAAGGCTAGACGGGTGATCTCTGTCTATGTATCCTCCATAAGTGATGTTCGTTCACAGCACTTGCCCTAGGTGATGTTCGCTCACAGCACTTGCCCTAGGTGATGTACACACACTGCACTTGCCCTAGGTGATGTTCACACACTGCACTTGCCCTAGGTGATGTTCGCTCACAGCACTTGCCCTAGGTGATGTACACACACTGCACTTGCCCTAGGTGATGTACACACACTGCACTTGCCCTAGGTGATGTACACACACTGCACTTGCCCTAGGTGATGTTCGCTCACAGCACTTGCCCTAGGTGATGTACACACACTGCACTTGCCCTAGGTTATGTTCACACACAGCACTTGTCCTAGGTGATGTTCGCTCACAGCACTTGCCCTAGGTGATGTACACACACTGCACTTGCCTTAGGTGATGTTCGCTCACAGCACTTGTCCTAGGTGATGTACACACACTGCACTTGCCCTAGGTGATGTTCACACACAGCACTTGCCCTAGGTGATGTACACACACTGCACTTGCCCTAGGTGATGTTCACACAGCACCTGCCCTAGGCCACATGGTAGTAAACCTCTCCTCCCCTTCGCCCGGCAGTGCGAGGCGTGCAGGAAGCCGTTCCCCGGATGCGACGCTGGGGGGCAGCGGCGTTGGCGGCCGTGTCCAGGTGCAGCACGTGCCGCTCCACGACCACGGGTCATGCCCTGCGGCGTCACGAAGCCGAGCCCCATGGTCCGTGACGCAGCCGCGTAGTTGACTGCGTTATCAGCTCGGAGGGGGGGGGGGGCTGTGCAGTGTAACAATCGGGTCAGGTGGGGGCACCTCCAATAATGTGATTTGTACTCTGTTTTTTTCGGTAAAGTCACGTAGGTGAAAATTAAATAAAAAATAAAACGGCAAATTTATATTCTTGGTTCTTTCGGTAAAGTCACGTAGAAGGTAAATAATAAAATAATATTAATAGTAAACAATAAAAAATATATTGTTTTATATTTATATTATTTTATTAACAAAAAAACATATATTGTTTTATATTTATATTATTTTATTATTTCCCTTCTACGGTAAAGTCACGTAAACAATAAACATTTTTTTTAAATATTTATATTATTTTATTATTGCCCTTCTACGTGACTTTACCGAAAGAACCAAGAACACAACTAAATGAAATCACGACGTTTTGGAAGCAACACAAGCATCCGTCATCAGGTGTAACCGCTCCAGCAAAATTACTGTAGCGTATGAAGAGAGCTATTTAGAGACACGTGTTTATATAGGGTACTAGGGGGGGGGGTGGTCATGCGGCAGGCCGTGTGGCGTCGTGGGCGGTTGAGCAGGGGGTTAGCATGAGTTAAGCCGATAGATAACCATCTTTTTAAATCGATTATATTAAGTTCACTTGCTTGCTTAGGGCCGAGCAAATCTTTCGGTCGTTTTTTAACCCCTTTCCCGTGATCCAATCAAGCTGACATTTTCCACACAGACTCGTTGTGCGTGACAATTAATGTTCGTTAAAATCTTTTTTCCTAAATTTTACACTTTTTAGGACAAAAATATTATATTTAATTACCAATTGCTTAATGGCGCAATGCAATCATCTGACCCATAGGTGGCAGTCATCTCAAGCCAGAGGACGAGAGGACTCTAGCCGCCACGCATATAAAGGATTTATAGTGAAAAACTTTGTTTTTACGGGTTATACTTTTTTTATTTTCTCTGTGATTATTGTGATTTGTCTCTTTGCACGGTTGCTGCCTCTTGCACTGATCGACATCGTCGTTACGAGCGCGGTCTCGAACTATTTGGCGGTGCAGCCAGGAACAGCTCCGTAGTGGTGGTGACCTCTTTGCAATGTTACGTTACCGCTCGAATTAAATTCGAATCTAACGTGGAGCGTGGAACGGACGCATTTTCACGCGAAATAAATTCAAACCGCGTTTTGAATAAGTGTTTGGTTGTTGTTGTTGTTGTTCTTATTCTTTTACTCTGTTGCTGAAAACGAATGTCATCGTGGTTGTCAAGGGGGGTGCCCCACAATTTATAGCTTTGGCCATAGCGGGGGAGGGGTGAGGGTAACTGCTGATGGTTTTTGTTTGGGTGCCATGGGAGAGATATGTTAACTACCTCGCTAGGTATACAGGAGGTTGCGTGTTCGATCCCGACCCCGACGCCCGCTGTATATTTGGAGTTTGCGTGTCTCTCTCCCCGTGGTCACGTGGACTTTTTTCCGGATCCTCCGTTCCACCCCTTCCCCCCCTCCAAGTGTATAATGAACATGCGTTTTAGAATATTTGGCTGCTATACATTCCACGTGATAAGCCACTTCGTTCATCTATCATTTGTGGCCAGATCGCTTCTGAAAATGCAGTTGTATGGCTCATCCGGTCACTTACCTGATAAAATAAAAACAATTATGGGACCTCCTTTGCCAGTACCAAAATATGATAATAATCTGTCACGTGACCCACGCATGTGGAAGCGTAACGCATTGTAGTGTAGTGGTTAGCGCGAGTTCGATTCCCGCTCACTACCGGTGACGATTATTTTAACCGGTCCTGGGCCTCCCCTAGGTCGACTCAGCCTCAAACGAGTAACTGTTGTGGTGTGTGAACATCGCCTACTGGGGAGACAAAGGCGGCCGGGCGTGGTGAATCCAAGTCCCGGGCGGAGCCGGGTAGTAACAGCTTAGTACCTTAATTTGGAGCTTTCGTGACTGCAGGGATTACTCTTTGGTTCTTTCGGTAAAGTCACGTATAAAGATAAAATAATAAATTAAATAATAGTAGTATGCTATTATTTAATTTATCACGTATAAAGATAAAATAATAAATTAAATAATAGTAGTATGCTATTACTTAATTTATTATTTTATCTTTATACGTGACTTTACCGAAAGAACCATACTACCATTATTACATTTATTATTTTATCTTTATACGTGACTTTACCGAAAGAACCAAAGAGCTTAGTACCTAATAAATTAACTTGGGTGTGTCACTACCGTGTGGAGGGTTGTCTCGTGGGCAGCAGAGGGCAGCAGAGGGCAGTGCAGTACCAGCCAGCAGGCAGGGGTCGCAGCGCCCACAGCGGTGAGCAAGCGATCAGGCGTCCAAATGCGACTCGTCCCCAGGCTCCCCTATTCCTCCCCCACTACTTTCGTCTTCCTGCACCCCTCCGCCCACCATGCCCCACCTCGTGTTGGCACAACACCACCTCGTGTTGGCACAACACCACCCCGTGTTGGCACAACACCACCCCGTGTTGGCACAACACCACCCCGTGTTGGCACGATATCAACTCGTGTTGGTACAACACCACCTCGTGTTGGTACAACATTAACTTCAAGTTCATGTATTAGGTGTAGCCCTGTGAGCCATTCGGCTCTTGAATCGGGTGCAACCGCAAAAAACAAAAACATGAACAAGAAAACATATTAAAGTGACGATGTGACTAAGTGCAAACAGAAAATCCAAGAAAAGACAGCAAAATATTGCATAGAAGGCACCGTAGACCAACACTGTGTGCAAAAATGGGATGCAAGTCAAACAACAACAACCACAAGACAACTTAGATTAAGGCCATCAGTCTAACTCTGTACGACAACAAACAAACATGGCCAAACCAAAAAAACTTTCGAAAATCACCAAAATAAAGCCATAAAAACATCACCCCGTGTTGGCACAACGCGACGAACTCAGCACGGTTTCTTGTTTGTTTTCAAATTTAGGTGCGGAAAACCTGTAACAGTCTTTTTCCGGGGTTTTTTCTGCGGTTACCAATCATGCTTTTTTTTTGTTACACAATCGTGGTTTATTAATAAAAAAAAAATGCGCTAACCTACTGCACCACCGCTCCACAGCTTGTACACACGCAGAAATAGCACACGGGTACACCTCCATAATAGAGGTGTTTTGGGTTAGATTGGGTAAATATATATAAATGTGTCGTTTAAACCCGCCACCACCCGACACAGCCAACTAGTAAGGTTTGTCGCGTAAACAGAACGTGGCCAATTCGTCACTAGTACAGCACTAGTGTGTAATGTAGTGTGTAGTATAGTGTATAGTAGTGTATAGTGTAGTGTATAGTGTAGTGTATAGTAGTGTAGTGTATAGTGTAGTGTATAGTAGTGTATAGTGTAGTATACTAGTACAGCACACCGGTGTGTTGGAGAGCCAAGCCACAACATTTACAATCTGAGTACGACGTTTCGCCAGTAATTACAACTAGCTTCATCAGGCGACAGCCATATTTGTGGAGATTCCACCTGTTTCGTTCCTTATATAGAGGCGTAGATGTGGTGACCACGCTTCTGCAGTCTTGCACAATGTGGGGGGGGGGGGGGGGGGCGATTACTGAGTCTACGTACATGATGCATGTACATGATGCATGTACATGATGCGAGCCCTTTGAACGTGTCCTTCCTGTCTATTGTGTATTAAAATAGTCGTACCAACGGTAATCCCTATTGAAGTATGCTGCCCTATATAGGCATGCATTTAAATAATCTATTGTTTGAAGATTCGCTTCCACGCAGCACTAAGGCGGTAGCTATCCGAACGGTTAAAGCTATTTTTTATTTCTTTAAATTTCGATAGATTATCTAATTAGTTTTGGCCAGTAGTAGCTAGTTTTGCACAGAACTTAAACATTATCAAAATCAATTGAGTGTCCTTGTTGGCACGCGTGTTCTGCTACTGCTGACAGTTGTATTTGGGATAATTGAATATTTCTCTGATGTTCTTTCAAGTCTCGTGCTGACCATTCGTCCTGTTTGCCCCAACATGACATTTACCACACGTGCAATTAATCCTAGGACACACCTTCTGTTGATAGCTTCGGTAATACATCTTTAGTACCAGATATTAATTTCTGTATTTTATATACCGTGCCAAATCTTACTCGGATGTTTTGTTTTTCTAAACATCTGGCTAATTTATCAGTTACTCCCACAATGTACGGTATTTTAATTACTTGGGCACTTTCAATGCTCGTGTTATTTTATTTGGTTTTGGCATTCAATGCCCTGTTGATTTGTGCATCATTGTAACCGTTCATTTGCAGCGCTTCTTCAACATGTTGAATTTCACTTCTGACACTTTCTTAGCTCGATGAATGAGCGTCTTGATAAGAGCAGATTTCTGTGCAGGGTGATGGTGTGACTCTGCATTCAGATAGGCGCCGGTATGCGTTTTCTTTCGGTAAACACTGCGTGTTATGAAAATAGGGGGTTTCCCCTTTTATCTGGCAACAAAACATGTGTGAAGATGTTAAAACACAAAACTGTACTAGTATACTACACTATACACTACACTATACACTACTATACACTACACTACTATACACTACTATACACTACACTATACACTACACTACACACTACTATACACTACTATACACTACACTACTATACACTACTATACACTATACTATACACTACACTATACACTACTATACACTACGATACACTACACTACACACTACTATCCACTACACTATACACTACACACTACTATACACTACGATACACTACACTACACACTACTATTCACTACACTATACACTACACTATACACTACACTACACACTACTATACACTACTATACACTACACTACTATACACTATACTATACACTACACTATACACTACTATACACTACGATACACTACACTACACACTACTATTCACTACACTATACACTACACTACACACTACTATACACTACGATACACTACACTACACACTACTATTCACTACACTATACACTACACTATACACTACTATACACTACGATACACTACACTACACACTACTATTCACTACACTATACACTACACTACACACTAGTACTGTACTAGTGACGAATTGGCCACGTTCTGTTTACGTGACAACCCTTGCTAGTTGGCTGTGTCGGGTGGTGGCGGGTTTTAACGACACATTTTTTTTAATTACGCGATCTAACCCCAAATAAACCTCCGTTATGGATGACATTGATCGCGACAGCCTGCCACGTGTGACACGAACCGGGTACCCATTTGCGCATTGACCAAAAAAAGAGAAGTGCAGACGGGTGACCACTACTGAGACGTTGTTTGTTTAATTATCTGCTCGGAGATCTGCTTAGAGGTGGGCACAGCTGCTCGTTGCAACCGAGAGAACAGGAAAGACCGCTCATGGAATGTGAGGAATCTCCAAAGTGAGGCTGTGCCTGCATAAAGACAAAAGATCCCCACCCCCGTATAGGCTTAACATTCTTTTGGGGCAAGTGCGGTTTAGCGAGTATCACCCTAAGAAGGCCGGCACGGCACACGAGGGGGTGGCCAGCACCACGCTCAAGATAGTAACTTCCTCGCCTAGTATGCAGGAGGTCGTGGTACAGGTATTTTGGGTTAGATCGCTGTTAGAACGCGATCTAACGCAAACAAGAAACTGTATTATGGACGATATTGGTCGCAAAAGCCTACGTGTTAAACAGGAAGACGTGGGTTCGATCTGCTTTATATTTGGAGTTTGTGTGTATCTCTCTCATCATCATCACCACGGTGGCTAGGAGATGTTAACCCCCTCGCCTGGTATACAGGAGATCGTGGGTTCGACTCCGACCCTGACGCCTGCTGCTGTATGTTTGGAGTATGCACGCTACTCTCCCCGTGGTCGCGTGGATTTTTCTCCGGGGCCTCCGTTTCTTTCCCCTCCACATTTTTTGAATCACGCGTTTTCAGAGTACTTGGCTGTGACCAATCCCCACGCGATAAGCCACATCTTTGAGATGGCATTTTGTGGCCAGGTCGCTACTGAAAAGGAACTATATACAGGTCGGCGTGTCTTACCTGGTAACGTAAAAAATTGAATTAAAATTGATACAAAATAAAATAATAAAATCACGACGTTTCGGAGGCAACACAAGTCTCCGTCATCAGGTGGGACCGTCACAGTCAAATTTGCTGTGACTTTACCGAAAAAACTAAGAGTATGAATCCTTGCAGTCACGAAAGCTTCAAATCTAGAATTACCTGGTAACGTTTAACAACAAAAAAAAAACAATTTAGTTTACGCACCACACCTAGTACCCGTCTGAGGCTGAGTAGACCTAGGGGATGCCCAGGACCACGCTCAAAATATTCGCCACTGTTGTGGGTCGTGAGCGGGAATTGGAACTCGGTCCGTAGCGCAGCGCACTCACCGCCACACCACGGCGCACTCAACAATTGCCCGCGGTCAATTATTTTCGCCGCTTGCAACGGCGTGAGCCTCCAGCCAGCCACGAGGGGCCGCTACATTAATGGAAGTGAAAAGAGAGAGGGGGGGGTGGTTGGGCGAAATGAAAACATCGGAACGTCGGGCACTTTACGATCACCCCATTGTGATTTAAGGCGTGTCAATAACGCGCCGGCAGCGACGCGCCATCAACACAATCGTTGTTTTTGGCCACGTGTGTTTGCGTACGTGTGTCGAACTTCTTTCGCACCGTACGTAGCCAGCCGTGCTAATCGGGAGGTGCGCGCAGGGGGGCAAGGGGCGAACACATGATCGCACGTGTTATTATTCTTAACAATGGTCTCTTTTTTTTTTTAAAAAGGTCACTGTCATCGAGGAATGCGTTTTCGTTCTTTGTGCGCCCAGGCCGTCCATAGGGTCGGGAGAGGGGGGGGTACGGGGTACGAGGCGGCTCGGGGCAAACTTCACAGTGGGCCTCCTCCAAGGCTCCTCTCCCCCACCGCCCCCCAAAGCGCCTCCGTACGCACCACCATGAACGCACCAGGACTGTGTCTCGAACTCCCTCGATCCTGGCCGAGCTTGCCACCTTCTCCCGACTAACTGTACCCCGGCCGACCACCGGCAGCGGTCGGCGTGAGACGAGCAATTGCAGGGCCTGCGCCTTTATCTTTTTAAAATCCTTTATATTAAGTTCGCGTGCTTGATTGCTTGCTTGCTTAGGACCGTGCAAATCTTTCGGTCGTTTTTTAACCCACTTCCCGTGATCCAATCGAGCTGACATTTTCCACACAGACTCGTTTTGCGTGACAATTAATGTTCGTGACATTTAAAAAAAAAAATTTTTACACTTTTTAGGACAAAAAAATATATTTAATTACCAATTGCTTAATGGTGCAATGCAATCATCTGACCCATAGGTGGCAGCCATCTCAAGCCAGAGGACGAGAGGACTCTAGCCGCCACGCATATAAAGGATTTATAGTGAAAAACTTTGTTTTTACGGGTTTACTTATTTTCTTTCACGCGGCTTAGACGCTCGACTGTTCGCGGTCTCCGCCTCGTCCCATTATCCCATCTCCCGTGTCGTCTCACGCCCTCTCCACCCACCGACCCTGCATGACTTTTCTGTGCTTGCTATGCCTGTGGTGAGTGGGGGGTGGTGGGTGTGGTGGGGGGGTGGAGGGTGTGGTGGGGGGGTGGAGGGTGTGGTGGGGGGGTGGTGGTGGGGGGGTGGTGGGGGGGTGGTGGTGGGGGGGTGGTGGTGGGGGGTGCTGGTGGGGGGGTGGTGGTGGGGGGGGTGGTGGTGGGGGGGTGGTGGGGGGGTGGTGGTGGGGGGGTGGTGGGGGGGTGGTGGTGGGTGTGGTGGGGGGGTGGTGGGTGTGGTGGGGGGGTGGTGGGGTGTCGTAACACGGGTCGCGCGCATGAGACTGTCGTTCACCGCGGTCACCACGCACCATCCCAGCACAGCGGGCAGCGAATGTTTTTTTTTCCGGGCGAGGGCAATGGGGGGCTTTGCAAATGATCTCGGGCAGTTTTGAGTGTCTGTCCTTCGGATAATCCCCCCCACACACACACACCTACAACCAACTAGCACCACCACCACCAACACACACCTACAACCAACCACCACCACACACACACACACACCTACAACCAACCAGCACCGCCACACACACACAAACCTACAACCAACCACCACCACCACACACACCTACAACCAAGCACCACCACACACACACCTACAACCAACTAGCACCACCACCACACACACACCTACAACCAACCACCACCATACACACACACACCTACAACCAACCAGGACCTACAACCAACCAGGACCACCCCCACACACACACACATCTACAACCAACCACCACCACACACACACATCTACAACCAACCAGCACAACCACCACACACACACCTACAACCAACCACAACCACCACCGCACACGCCGGAGCAACGCTTACCTGACTTAGCGCAGCAACGTGGGGGGAGGGGGTGGAGTCATGCACAAATCCATTTTATGAGCGAGCTGAACTCTGGACCTATCCGACTCAAGGACGCGGCGGCGGTAGCATCGTCGTCATCATCATCATCGTCGTCGCCGTCTAACATCTTTAAAGCATTAGTTGCCTTCTATCGGCGCGATGAATCCGGCCGTAGCGAGACGCGCAGGAGGGAGTTCCGCCGTGCTGAGGCTCGCTCGTCTCCTCTTCCTCGTCGTGGCGTTCGTGGCGACGTTCATGCTGGGCAGCATCAGCCGCGACTACACACAGAGCGACCTGGGTCACGAGCAGAGATCCGCCTGCAGGTAAGGTGGCTGCTACGGTGACAAAGATTTACCATCACCACCCCCATCACCATCGCCACCCCCATCACCATCGCCACCACCACCACCCCCATCACCCCCCCCCCCCCCATCACCACCATCACACAGAGACCCGTAGACTCGCACAGAGACCCATAGACTCACACAGAGACCCATAGACTCACATATTGACCCATAGACCCATACCGAGACCCATATACTGTACTTACATATTGACCCATAGACTCATACAGAGACCTGTAGGCTCATACAGAGACCTTTAGACTCGCACAAAGACCCATAGGCTCATACAGAGATCCATAGACTGACATAGAGACCCATTTATTAAGAACTGCTTCTGTATGTTTAGTGGCGTTGTCCTTCCAACGCATTTGCGGTGAACACGGTTGGCTACGTGCGGTGCGAAAAAAAGTCCAGCATGCAGTACAGACATACGTGTGGCAATGTCGCCTCTGACAACAGAGCTGCTAGATCGGTGGACTTTGATTTTGATCTTAATATTGGCACAAGAAAGGCAGGTGAAAGGCAAACACGGTATAAAGGTTGAGGTTGGAACACAACGGCGGCTTATACGAAAACCACACCTTAAAAAAGAATAATGTATATACAAAGCATACTATTTACAATTAAACATGTAAACTTAGTGTTTAAAAAAAACATTTTTTTGCGTGCGTATGTGTGCGTGAGAGAGCGGTGGTGGAGTGGTTAGCGCTACGCTGCGCTACGAACCCGGCGACCCGAGTTCAATTCCTGCTCTTGGCCAACACCGGTGACGATGATCTGAACCGGTCCTGGGCCTTCCTCTTGATCGACTCAGCCTCAAATGAGTACCTGGTGCGGTGTGTAGTAAACATCGCCACCGGGGAGACAAAGTTGGTCGGGCGTGGTTCTGGCCACCCACCCCCACTTGCCCAGTGCTGTCAGTAGCGGCACCTGATGAAGGCCCGAACGGCACGCGAGGGGGTGGGTGGCCAGCAACCACGCCCGGCCGCCTTTGTCTCCCTCGTGGCGATGTTTACACACACAGTACCAGGTACTCATTTGAGGCATAGTCGACCTAGGGGAGGCCCTGGATTGATTTAGATAATCGTCACTGGTGTTGTCTCCACTCCCACTCCACCACCCCCACACCACCACCACACCACCACCACACCATCACCACCACACTACTACTCTCACACCACCACCACCACCACCACACTACCACCACCACACTACTACTCTCACACCACCACCACACTACCCCCACACCACCACCATCACCACACTACTACTCTCACACCACCACCACCACCACACCACCACCATCACCACACTACTACTCTCACACCACCACCACCACCACACTACCACCACCACCACCATCACCACACTACTACTCTCACACCACCACCACCACCACACTACCACCACACCACCACCATCACCACACTACTACTCTCACACCACCACCACCACACTACTACTCTCACACCACCACCACCACACTACCACCACACCACCACCACCACCACCACACTACCACCACACCACCACCATCACCACACTACCACTCCCACACCACCACCAACACCACACTACCACCACCACACCACCACCACCACCACACTACCACCACACCACCACCAACACCACACTACCACTCACACACCACCACCAACACCACACTACCGATGTGTTGGAGAGCAGAGCCACAGTATTTAGTGATCAGATTGTAAATCATTAGACCTCCTTTGCCAGTACCATTAACCACAATACTTGCAGTCAAAATGCAAACAAAAAACACACTCTGATAATATATGCATTGTCCTTGAAACTGATTGGGCCACACCAAGAGACAGCTTTCTTTGGTGTGGACCAATCAGTTTCAAGGACAATGCATATATTATCATAGTATGTTTTTTGTTTGCATTTCGACTGCAAGTATTGTGGTTAAAGCAGACATGATTCCTTGTAAAAAGGTTTCAGTTTTGTTGCCAGAAAAAAGTGGAAAACCCCTATTATTACAGATGGTAAATGTTGTGGCTTTGCTCTCCAACACACCGCTGTGCTGTACTAGTATACTACACTATACACTACACTACTATACACTACACTACTATACACTACACTACTATACACTACACTACTATACACTACACTACTATACACTGCTGTACACTACACTATACACTACACACTACACTACACTACTATACACTACTATACACTACACTATACACTACACTATACACTACACTATACACTAGTGCTGTACTAGTAACAAATCGTCACGTTCTGTTCACGTGACCACATTTAACTTGTTGGCTGTGTCGGGTGGTGGCGGGTTTAACGACACATTCATTTATTTACGCGATCTAAACCCACCCCCCCCCCCCAAAAAAAAAAAAAAACCTGCCTCATGGGTGATATTGCTCGCGACATTTCCACCGCAAAATCGCTCGATTCGGATTTAAGACCGCGGCAGCAGCAAACATAACACCACCACCCCACCCCTCTCTCTTCTGTTGCAACCAAACGCCTCCGGCGGGTGACACTCCCGCAATTCGAGACACAGGCATCATTCCGTCTCGACGCGTCTCTTCATCGGCCGCTTGAAGCAGAAAAACCACCCTCCGAGTGGAAATGCGCAGACACCGACGGATCTTCTGCAATGCGGAAACAACCCCAAACCAACCCAACTTCGCATATCCCACGCGGGGGCCAAATGTGCCCCCCCCCCACCAATTGGCCACGAAAACGTGCATAGCACTCATGGACGCTGCCACGCTCTGATGGAAGCTGGCGGTGAGTTGCGTGTGGGGTGGGTTGGGGGGTTATTGAGTTCACGAGTGCTTGGAGGTGTTGATTACGACCCGGGCAGGTGCAGTGTTTTAACTTATTTGCAGACTGCGTGTGGTGTGTGTGCGAGGTGCGTTGCGTGTGTGTGTAGTGGTTAGCGCGCTGCGCTACGAACCCAGACAGCCGGGTTCGATTCCCGCTCACGGCCAACACCGGTGGAGATGATTTGAACCGGTCCTGGGCCTCCCCTAGGTCGACTCGGCCTCAAATGAGAACCCCGGTGCGATGTGTAAACATCGCTACTGGGGAGACAAAGGCGGCCGGGCGTGGTGCTGGCCACCCTCCCCCTCGTGTGCCGTGCCGGCCTTCGTAGCTGCTACCTGCTAACAGCACTTGCCCCGACAGCCTAAAAGCTACACGGGGGGAGTGCGTGTGTGCGTGTGTTTGTTCTACGCGAATAGTCTTTGTCATATTTGTTGTTTATTTTTGAAACTTAATCCTCGTGGTTCCGGGGCAGTGTCGTTTGGCAAGTGGATTTGCGTTTTTTTTTAACTAAAACGCGATTATTGGTACTGCTTTTGTGGAGATGGCGGAAGCAGTCGTGAACTGCCGGATTAGACTAAACGAGTTTTTAGCTACGTGACTTTACCGAAAAAAAACAAAGAGTATGGACCCTTGTAGTCACGAAAACATCACATATAGAATTAAACACATTTTCCTTCACCAGGTAATACCCCACTGAGCAATGTATTCATTTTTTAAATCCCTTATATTAAGTTCGCTTGCTTGCTTGCTTACGACCGTGCAAATCTTTCGGTCGTTTTTTAACCCACTTACCGTGATCCAATGGAGCTGACATTTTCCACACAGACTCGTTGTGCGAGACAATTAATGTTCGTGAAAATTTTTTTCAAAAATTTTACACTGTTTAGGGAAAACAAATTAAACATTTAATTACCAATTGCTTAATACTGGCAGACAATCATCTGACCCATAGGTGGCAGCCATCTCAAGCCAGAGGACGAGAGGACTCTAGCCGCCACGCATATAAAGGATTTATAGTGAAAAACTTTGTTTTTGCGCGTTATACTTGTTCAGACCTCGCTAATGATAGCTCAACGAAGTGGGCTCATCCTTCATGTGGACATTTACTGTATAGCAGCCGAATACTCGAAACCTGCAATTTACAGGGATTTCATGCTTCATTATCTACATGACCTGGTGATCGTGAAATCTTGGATTTTTGCTGTACAGCTACCTAGGCTGACGCACAATGGATCCCTCTTGCGAATTGGCTGGGTAGCTGACTACACTGGACTTTCCGTATAACAAATAAAACATTGATTGATTGATGGCCTTTAACGGCATTTAGACCGAACAAATCCAGTAGGTATGAAGACTTTGACTTAAAGCTTTCGTGGCAGCAGGAATTCATATTCTTTGGGTCTTGCTGTAAAGTCATGTCGATAGGTTCAAAGAAAATAACGAAAAAATAACAAAAAACTACAACGTTTCGATCGCAGCACAAGCGGGGTCGTCTTCTATCTACGCGACTTTACCGAACGTCCCAAAGAATATGTCGTAGTTTCTTGTTTGTTTTATTTTTAATTAATTTGAACCTATCTACAGTACGTGATTTTACCGAAAGACCCAAAGAATATGTCGTAGTTTTTTGTTTGTTTCATTTTTAATTAATTTGAACCCATCTACGTGACTTTACCGAAAGACCCACAGAATACTTCGGGAGTTCGTTTCACGTGGGAGGGTGGTGGGTAATGCACTCTCGTAGTCGCTACTGCTGCTACTGCTGCTGCCACTGTTGCTACTGCTGCTACTGATACTGCTGCTACCGCTACTGCTGCTGCTACTACTGCTGCTGCTACTGCTAGTGCTGCTACTGCTGCTGCTATTGCTGCTACTGCTGCTACTACCGCTGCTGCCGCTGCTGCTACTACTGCTGCCGCTGCTGCTACTACTGCTGCTGCTACTGCTGCTGCTACTGCTACTACCGCTGCTGCTGCTACCGCTGCTGCTGCTACTGCTGCTGCTTCGGTTTTACTGTCCGACTTGTTTCGTCTTGCTCCTGCTTTGACGGCCGCCGCGCGAGGCCTCGGGGATGAAATTCCGAACCGGGGGGATGTTTTTGCCGTCGCGAGCACCGATGGCAGAGGAATTTAGCCGACGGCCGAGAGACGACAGGAGAGGCGATTGCTGTAACTAAACTCTTTGACAATAATATTTACGATGTTTTTTTTGTTACCAAGGTATGGGCCCCGCAGAGCTACGTTGCTCTTTCACAGAAGGGACCAAAATATAGCCCGACGAATTTGCTTATCGAGTGGAAATTTACTGCAGTCGTAAAGTCTAATCGTACGGTGTTGATTAAAAAAAAATCGGAGGACCCGGAAAAAAATCTACGAGACCTGCAAACGTCCAAAATACAGCAGTCGCCAGGGTCGGGATCGAACCCACGAATCTCCTGTATACCAGGCGAGATAGTTACCATCTCCTAGCCACCGTGATGATGATGAGATAGAGAGACGCAGACTCCAAATATACAGCAGTCACCAGGGTCGGGATCGAACCCACGAATCTCCTGTATACCAGGCGAGGTAGTTACCATCTCCTAGCCACCGTGATGATGATGAGATAGAGAGACGCAGACTCCAAATATACAGCAGCAGGCGTCAGGGTAGGGATCGAACCCACGACCTCCTGTACACCAGGCGAGGTAGTTACCATCTCCTAGCCACCATGATGATGATGCGATAGAGAGACGCAGACTCCAAATATAGAGCAGGCGCCAAGATAGGGATCGAACCCACGGCCTCCTGTATACCAGGCGAGGTAGTTAACATCTCCTAGCCACCGTGATGATGATGATGAGATAGAGAGACGCATACTCCAAATATAGAGCAGGTGCCAGGGTAGGAATCGAACCCACGGCCTCCTGTACACCAGGCGAGGTAGTTAACATCTCCGAGCCACAGTGACGCCCTATCCTCGGCGACACTGTCCCAAACCCTGAACTCTCCCCCGTAGCTTCACAACCTAGCTGGTGACGCGGGCCAGTCGACTCTGGTTCTCCGATTTGCCTCGAGCAGCCTCCTCCTCATCATCCGGCGAAGTCGTCTCTGGGACGAGACGAGCTGAACATCGCTTCCCCGTCGCGGGATTCACTCCCTCCTCCTCCGCCGTGCCACGCCTCACAAGAGTTCTGACTTAAAATTTTCGTGACTGCAGGAATTCATATTCTTTGGTTCTTTAGGTAAAGTCACGTAGATAGAACATAATAAAACAAAAATTAAATGACCGCATGTGTTGCGACCGAAACGTTGTGAGTTTTGGTTTTCCATTATATATTTTTTTATTTTCTATCTCAGTGACTTTACCAAAAGAAGCAAAGAATACCGCACTGAGTCTCAAGACTCGTTATCCGCCGGAGGGTCCTGCCAGGTTTTCACAGTGCAGTGTGGATGTTCTTGTGTGTAATCCAAAGCCGTAGCCATGGAGTCAACATTGGGGGGGACCAAATCTTCCAGGGTGTCTGGGGGTCCCAACCCAGAAAAATATCTAAATTTGAAAACTAATTTCCTGGCTAAAATATTAAAAAAATTCACTAACACATGGGAGGGACTTTTTAGTATTTTTTTTACAATAATGTATAATAGTGTATTGTATTATATTGCTCTGTTTTTACTTTTTTTACCATTTCTTCTTTCATTGTATATAATGGCAGAGATTAGGGATTAATAAATTACAACCATCACAACCACAATCATGTAAACAGAAATCTATGCATGAAGACAAGTCCAGATATTGTGGCCAAGGTTTAGCAAATAGTTTTTTTTTTATATAGCATTGCAATTTTTTTTATAGCAATATATTGGGGCGGACATTTTGAGCATATTTGAATATTGGGGGGGATGTGTGCAGTAGTGTAGTGTATAGTGTAGTGTATAGTATATAGTAGTGTACAGTGTATAGTAGTGTAGAGTAGAACCCCTCTTAACGATGATTCCTGTTAACGACAGGCCTCTATAGAGCCGAATATGTAGTGTATAGTGTATTCGTGTAGTAGTGTATCGTATAGTGTAGTGTATAGTGTAGTGTAGAATATATAGTAGTGTACAGTGTATAGTAGTGCAGAGTAGAACCCCTCTTAACGATGATTCCTGTTAACGACAGGCCTCTATAGAGCCGAATATGTAGTGTATAGTGTATTCATGTAGTAGTGTAGTATATAGTGTAGTGTAGAGTATATAGTAGTGTACAGTGTATAGTAGTGTAGAGTAGAACCCCTCTTAACAACCATTCCCCTGTTAACGACGGGTGAGTGTAGGTATAGTAAATATTAATTAATGTATTTATTAATCATGTTTCTTCTAATATTATGTGTTTTACAATGTTGTTAGTATCTTTCTATATTAACATCCATTGTTTAAATATCATGAAGTTCGGTTTTTGGGTGAAAAAGGGTCACTTTCGATGCCATTGAAACAAATTAAGACTTTAACGTGTATTTCCTAGATTCGCACAACGACCAAATCACTTAACGAACGGTTTCATGGAATCATTTACCGTCGTTAAGTGTGGTTCTTCTCGATATACCATCGGAGTTTTGGCCAATTAACGACCGTTTAAAAACAAGAAACAACAGCAACTTACAGATATTTCTAGATTTGAAGTTTTCGTGACCGCAGATGTTTGTGTACGTCACGTATCTTCTTGGTTCTTTCGGTAAAGTCACGTAGAAGGGAAGTAATAAAATAATAAACATAAAACATAATAAAACAATTCTCAACGACGTTTCGGCCACAACGCAAGCAGCCGTCCTCAGGTGAAAACCAGGTCTGTCGAGGCGACAGCGTCTGAATGAAGATGAATCCCTGCAGTCACGAAAGCTTTAAATCGAAATACATCACGTATGTTGAACTTCTTTCGCACCGCACATGTGGCCAACCGCGCTAATCGGGCGACAACCACGTGACGCGACGGGGATCCACGTGCGTGTGCGCCACGTGTCTTCCATGTCGCTCCTTTGTTGCCCCACGCAGGGAACCCCGCGAGATGCAGGACACTTCGTGGCCTGCGCTAAGACCCACGGCGGCCAGGAGACCCAAGGCGACAACGACAGCCATGCCTCTGGGGGACTCGTACCCGCACGACGACACCTACACGCATTCTGTAGGTAGAGCTGGGTGACTGGTACCCACACAATGACACCTACACACGTTCTGTAGGTAGAGCTGGGTGACTGGTACCCACACAATGACACCTACACACGTTCTGTAGGTAGAGCTGGTGACTGGTACCCACACAATGACACCTACACACGTTCTGTAGGTAGAGCTGGTGACTGGTACCCACACAATGACACCTACACACGTTCTGTAGGTAGAGCTGGTGACTGGTACCCACACAATGACACCTATACACGTTCTGTAGGTAGAGCTGGTGACTGCCACCCACACAATGACACCTATACACGTTCTGTAGGTAGAGCTGGTGACTGGTACCCACACAATGACACCTACACACGCATTCTGTAGGTAGAGCTGGTGACTGGTACCCACACAATGACACCTATACACGTTCTGTAGGTAGAGCTGGTGACTGGTACCCACACAATGACACCTACACACGTTCTGTAGGTAGAGCTGGTGACTGCCACCCACACAATGACACCTATACACGTTCTGTAGGTCGAGCAGGCTGACTGGTACCCACACAATGACACCTACACACGTTCTGTAGGTAGAGCTGGTGACTGCCACCCACACAATGACACCTACACACGTTCTGTAGGTAGAGCTGGGTGACTGGTACCCACACAATGACACCTACACACGTTCTGTAGGTAGAGATGTTATCTTCCTCGCCTGGTATGCAGGAGCTCGCCGGCTTGATCCCGATCCTGATGCCCTGTGCCTCCCGATTTGCACGGTTGGCTACGTATGGTACGAAAGAAGTTCAACATACATACTAGGAGTGTGCGTGTCTCTCTCTCTCTCTCGATTCCCGTGGTCGCGTGGATTTTTCCCCGGGTCCTCCGGGTTTCCCCTGCACATTTAGAATCAACTTCACGTGTTTAGAGTATTTGGCTGCTTTGAATGTCCACGTGATGACGATATGCCATTTTGTTGAGCTTTCATTTGCGGCCAGGTATCTTCTTAAAATATCTATCCAGCCACAGTGGGTGAAAATTAAAATAAATACGTTGCGTAGTTTGACTTTGAGTCTGCCGTTCTGGGGACCCGAGTGTGTGCACACCGTGGGGCTTGTCTTAAACAAGCGGACACCTCTTCATGGTTCTTTCGGTAAAGTCACGTAGAATGGAAATAATGAAATAATAAAAATAAAACATAATACAATTATTCTCACGACGTTTCGGCCACAACGCAAGCAGCCGTCCTCAGGTGAAGAACAGGTCTGTCAGAAAGACAACGTCGTGAGAATTATTTTATTATGTTTTATTTTTATTCTTTTATTATTTCCATTCTACTTGACTTTACCGCAAAGAACCAAGAAGATCAATCCCTGCAGTCACGAAAGCTTTAAATCGAAATCGGACACCCGTTAAAGAGAGCTTCACAACTCATCGGATTTCTCGATTCTCTCTCCACCGCCCGCTTCTGGCCCAGCATTTTTATCAATCGGTGCAATGTCGGGAGTGTGGTGGGGGTAAAGTATGTGTTACTGCCTACTCCTTTCATGATATCTGGAACGGCGTGGAAGAGTTTGGCCCAAATATCCATCCAGGGCCCCCTTTCCAACAGCCGTGGCATGAGCAAGCAAATCCGCAAGACCTCCAACCTTTTGATAAAAAGCATTTTTGTTGGTTTCTCTCCAAAAGGTGTGGCATGACGCTTGGTTAATCTGAGCCTTGAACGATGGGCCCACATTCGCAATGCCACGCCTTGGGCTTAGCATAAATGCCCTGTCAGGCGAAGTCCAACTTACGTAACCCGAGGGTGAGGTCTCCTTTATGTAATCACAAAGTTCACAGCCTCCCACCACCCTGTGCTGTTGCACTCGGCTCTGCAATCTTGCAGCTGCATAAAGATGGCGCCAATTCAATCGATCGCTCCGTGAGGATGGGAACGCGATACAAATGTACCACGAGAACAAGGAACAAGCAAAGCAGAAGCAAACTTACACACTCGACGCATTGGTCATTGGTATCACCGTAGTCTTAACAAACTTACACACTCGACACATTGGTCATTGATAACACCGAAATCTTAACAAACTAACACACTCGACACATTGGTCAGTGACATCACCGTGGTCTTAACAAACAATAGCCCCCCCCCCCCCCCCCGTCTGTAATTGGTGATAGTTTCGACAATTCACTGTCTACGTAACGCGCACACACACATCAGGTTACGACTGACTGGTCATTCACGCCGCTCGGCAGAGTGAAGGGACATTTGGTGGAGTAAGGTCCATCACCAGAGTAGGGTCCATCACCAGAGTAGAGTCTGTCACCAGAGTAGGGTCCATCACCAGAGTAGGGTCCATCACCAGCGTAGGGACCATCACCAGAGTAGGGTCCATCACCAGAGTAGGGCCCATCACCAGAGTAGAGTCCGTCACCAGAGTAGGGTCCATCACCAGAGTAGAGTCTATCACCAGAGTGGGGACCATCACCAGAGTAGAGTCTTTCACCAGAGTAGGGTCCATCACCAGAGTAGGGTCCATCACCAGAGCAGGGCAGCTCCATTTGTCGGCCGTCGCTTCACGGCGTTCGCTCGTTAAAAATCACCAACTTGCTACCCGTCGTGTTTGGCTATCGGCGAATCCCACCTGGGACTCTACGCGACTCCGTCGAGAGAGATAGAGAGACAGAGAGATCAAGTGGCAAGAGAGAAAGTGACAAGATCAACTAATGGGATAAGGTAATGTGGTATAAAGCAACGAGATGTATTGATGACCTGTATTGGTGACATGTATTGATGAGAGATAAAGTGACGAGAGAGAAAGCTTGTCTGCGTATTTATTCAAGGCAGTTCATTATATTTATTTTAATTTACAATTGTATTACAACATATGTTTACTTGTTTGTCTTATTATGACAATTTCGACGCATTTAAGGACTTATTTAAGTGTTTATTTAAGGTAACTCGTAACAAAGATAGGTTTCCGTAGGCCGAAATCATTATCCGCTGTTCACGAGCATCTCAAGAACGTATCCCTCATCGCGAACAACGGTGCGATTAAATGACGGTCACGTTAACGATATACCGCTACGCGATTTAAAATGCAACATTTTGCCATTCAAACAATCCACGACGTGCACTGTGCAGTCGCTCGCCGTCGCCACGAAGCAGAGAAGGCGGATTCTTAAACCCTTCCAAAGGTTTCGCTTCATCTTCCAGGGTGTCTGGGGGTCCCAACCCAGAAAAAAACATCTAAATAAAAAAAAAACTAATTTCCTGCCTAAAATATTAAAAAATTCCCCAACGCATGGGATGGACTTTTTATTTATTTTTTTGACAATAATGTCTAAGTGTATATTGTATCACATTGCTTTGTTTTTACCATTTCTTGTTTCATTGCTTGTAATGGCAGAGATTAAGGATTCATAAAGTACAACCATAACCACAATCATATAAAAATAAATCAATGCATTGATTTATTTGAAGACAAGTCCAGATATTGTGGCCAAGGTTTAGCAAATTGTTGTTTTTACTATTTTTTATAGCAATAAATTTGGGGGGGGGGGCATTTTGAGCATATTTGAATATTGGAAGGGGGGGTGTGTGTGTGTGTGTCCCAATATATATTATAATGACGGCCTTGTCTTCTTGGTTCTTTCGGTAAAGTCACGTAGAAGAGAAGTAATAAAATAATTCTCACGACGTTTCGGCCACAACGCAAGCAGCCGTCCTCAGGTGAAAACCAGGTCTGTCGGGGAGACAGCGTCTGAATGTTTTCACCTGAGGACGGCTGCTTGCGTTGTGGCCGAAACGTCGTGAGAATTATTTTATTATGTTTTATTTTTATTAATTTATTACTTCCCTTCTACGTGACTTTACCGAAAGAACCAAGAAGATGAATCCCTGCAGTCACGAAAGCTTTAAATCGAAATGACGACCTTGGTTTGCACGCACGACAAGCTGCGCGTGCCGATTGCCTGTTGTTTCGCTGCTGCTGGTGCAGGGGTGCAAGAACAGCGTGCGTGCGCTGGCGCTGCATGCCGACGAGTGGCTGCGCGCCGCGTTCATCCCGGACACGCGCGTGCTCGCGTGGAGCGAGCACGCCACGCCGCAGGAGTACGAGCGCCTCAAGCGCTTCCAGCTCATCTACGGCTGGGGCGGCAAGAACTTCTCGCGTGAGTGGCGGTGGCGGCGGTAGTGGTGGTGGTAGTAGTGATTGGTGCTGGTGGCTGTGGTGGTGGTGGTGATAGTGGTGGTGCTGATGTGGGTGGTGGTGGTGGTGGTAGTGGTGGTAGTGCTGATAGTGGTGGTAGTGGTGGTGCTGATGTGGGTGGTGGTGGTGGTAGTGGTGGTGGTGCTGATGGTGGTGGTGCTACTAGTGGTGGTGGATGTGGTGGTGATAGTGGTGGTGCTGCTGGTGGTGGATGTGGTGGTGGTAGTAGTGGTGGTAGTGGTGGTGCTGCTGGTGGTGGTGGATGTGGTGGTAGTAGTGGTGATAGTGGTGGTGGTGGTGGTAGTGGTAGTGGCGGTGCTGGTGGTACTGGTGGTGGATGTGGTGGTGGTAGTGGTTGGTGCTGTTGGATGTGGTGGTGGATGTGGTGGTGGTGGTAGTGGTGGTGGTAGTGACTGTGCTGATGGTGGTGGTGGTAGTGGTGGTGGATGTGGTGGTGATGGTGGTGGTAGTGGTGGTGGATGTGGTGGTGATAGTGGTGGTGCTGCTGGTGGTGGATGTGGTGGTGGTGGCGGTGCCAGTAGTGGCGGTGCCAGTAGTGGCGGTGGTGGTGGGAGTGACAGTGCTGGTGGTGGTAGTGGTGGTGCTTGTGTTAGTGGCGGTGGATGTGGTGGTAGTGGTGGTATTGGCGGTGGTAGTGGTGGTGGTGGTGGTGATAGTGGTGGTGGATGTGGCGGTGGTGGTGGTAGTGGCGGCAGTGGTGGTAGTGACAGTGCTGGGTGGTTGTGGCAGTTCATCTTCGCAGCAGCTTGTTCATGTATCAAGACGCTGCTTGGTTGGCACGTCGAACTTCTTCTGCACCGTACGTAGCCAACCGACACTAATCGATCACCACCCCCCCCCCCTCTCGCAGTCGTGGCCAACGCGCTGCGGCTGCTCAACACGAGCGCCAATCGGCACATGTTCGACGACTGGAGCCAGCGCTGGAGGCGGCGGCGGGCACCCCAGTGCGTCACGTGCGCCGTCGTGGGCAACGGCGGCATCCTCAACGGGTCGCGCATGGGCCGCGAGATTGACAAGCACCACTACGTCTTCCGGTCAGCGCACCCTGTCTCTCTCTCTCACCGCCCCCCCCCCCCCCCCCGTTCTCTCTCTCTTACCCCCCTCTCTCTCTCTCTCTCTGCCCCCCCCCCCCTCCGTTCTCGCCCCCCCCCTCACTCTCTCGCTCGCCCCCCCCTTTCTCTCGCCCCCCCTCTCTCTCTCTCTCGGCCCCCCTTCTCTCTTTCACCGCCCCCTCTCTCGCCCGCTCTCTCTCGCCCCCCCTCTCTCGCGCTCCGCCTCTCTCGCCCCCCCTCTCTCTCGCTCCCCCCCTCTCTCGCCCCCCGCCTCTCTCGCCCCCCCTCTCTCTCGCCCCCCCTCTCTCTCGACCCCCCCCTCTCTCGCCCCCTCCCTCTCTCGCCCCCCCCCTCTCTCTCGCCCCCCCTCTCTCGCCCCCCCTCTCTCTCGCCCCCCCTCTCTCGCCCCCCCCTCTCTCTCGCCCCCCCCTCTCTCGCCCCCCCTCTCCCCCTCCCTCTCTCTCGCCCCCCCCCTCTCTCTCTCCCCCCCCTCTCTCTCACCGCCCCCTCTATCTCCCCCCTCTCTCTCACCCCCCCTCTCCCCCCCTCTCTTTCTCCCCCCCTCCTCCCCCCAATATCGCGTGACGCCGCCGTTTGGGGATTTGTTGTTGTTGTTTTAGTTTGTTGTCTTTCCACCTCGCCACACCCGCCACACCCACCCCACCCACAACGCCGCACCTCGGCTTGGCCACGTGCGTTGAACAATCAGTGTCGATTTACAAGTGTACAGCTGCAGTGGATTCTTAATATCGGAAGGAAGAGCATTCCAGACGGCCACAGAAGCGCGTCTGAAAGGGCCGCGGTGCGCTTTCAGATTGCCAGCCTAAAGACGCTGCGATGATTTCCGGAGTTTGCGTGGTGGTGGTGGTGGTTTCTGCTCCTTGACGAGACCCGCTAGCTATTGTGGTTGGTTTGTGGCGAGCAAATGGGTCTTGTGTAAATCCCCACGACGTGGCTTTTAAAAACCAGCATCGACCTCTTGCAGAAGCCACGCCGGGGACGTGTGACATGTTCTAGCAGAACGGCGAGCACTCTCGCATCGCGTGAAAGCGCCGCGGCGTGGTGACCGTCTTCGTTGCATGGACAGACAAAAGACGCTGCTAGCGTTGATTAACCGGAGTTCGCGTGGTGATGGTTTCTGCTCCTTGGGATTCATTTGCGGTGAACACTTTGCGTGTAATGAGCGCGACCTTTAAAATATATTTGTTCAGCAACCAGAAGCCCATGCAGCTTGACGAGCACTGGATGGACACGTGTCTTTCTCTCTATGTTATTCCAACCGTGCATGCAATGTATCATCCATAATCCTCATTATTATTATTATTATCCATTAGTGTATTAAAAAATAACTACATTGGTCAACACACTTATTCTGGCATAAGGTATTCCAACGGTTTTAATGTAGTTTTGGGGTGCTGATTCCAAATCTGGCATCAGTTTTTGTCCATCACATCAGGTTTTTGAAATATCAAATATTGCATTTTCAATAAAAACTGCCGAAGAAAAATATTACATAAATGTGGATAGCTACATAAAGTGATATTATAACACACTATCCTAAAAATACAGCACCATATTTTAACACTAAAGCAGTCACTGACTCGCAACAACTTGCAATCACAAGTGACAGAGTTAATTTCTGGTAAAATCAATGAAAATGGGGTATGCCGATAGCATTAAAATTAGATATGATAGAGCAAATCTGAGATCAGATTTGGAATCAGCACCCTGAAATTAGTCTAAAACCGCTGCAAAAAGTCCAGGCCAGAAAAAGAAAAAAAAAATTGTTGACCAGTGTTATAGATGATATTTGGACCGCACGGTTCAACTGTTAGCAACACATTTGCTCGTGTGCTTAAGTTTGCTCAACGGAAGAGCGGAACCCGGCTTAAGCCAGATTAACTCCCAGCGCCCCCCTCGAGATCGGGCACATCTATCGAAATCGGCTGAAGAATCCTGTAAATCACGTGACCTTCTGTGTGGACACCCACACTCTGTGAACCCCTTTCCTCTCATCTACGCATCTTTCTCTATCAATCAATCAAGCAAGCCTTGATTTCTGTTGCACTATTTAGCGCAAAAGATGCAATTCAAAGAGCTGTACAGATAAAATAAAACATTGCGAAAAGACTAAAGCTCAAGAACAATAAAAGCAATTTCCATACAAACAAAATTGCAAAAAAAATATTGCTGTGGTTTTCCCACACGATGATGATGATTGCTTGTGTTGCAATCGAAACGTCGTGATTTGTTTAATTTTATTTCTAACTACGTGACTTTACCGAAAGAACCAAGAATATGAATCCCTGCAGTCACGCAAGCTTTAAATCAAAATCTTAACACATATTTTGTTGCCAGAAAAAAGGGGAAAACCTCTTCTCATACAGACACTATCCCAACCCCAAACCCCGTCCCCAACCCCTATCACTACCAATACCCATATCACCAACCCGATCACTACCCCAACCCCTCCTTAACTACTCACGCCTGCCCTCCTGTCACCATCGCTTCACCACAACGTTGAATAACAACCACCCCACGTTAAAATATCTCAGCCACTGCCACCTTGTGTACACTTTTGTAAGTATTGTAAAGGCGCCTTTGACCAGAGGTCACAACCGGGTACCCGATACCCGTACCCTACCCGATACCCGGCTACCCTTACCCGGCCAGGTACGGGTACGGGTACCCATTTGTGACCCTGGTGCGGCCGGGTACGGGTAAGGAATCAAAACCCGTTTGCGACCTCTGCCTTTGACCGAGTAAGGCGCAGCTGCTGCATGAGTCTGTGTAAGACAGGATGGGTTTACTTCGCTCATGATCAGAGGGGAAGGGACACTTTCACCGATAAGACATCGTCAGTGTGAGTGAGGGGGCCGCCACACCATTTGAAACCATCGTTGGGTTTGAGAGCAGCACAATGATGATGATGGGGGTGTTGGCACATTTGTGTATTGTCAGGGGGGAGGGAGGGAGGGGGGGGCGCATTGAAGGCCACCAGTGGCCCACCAGTGGCCCTTGCAGTGAAGAACGCCGCTTCAGACTGCCCAAGGGGAGTTCACCGTTGTGCCACGTGACTTCTTATCGCAACGGGGTCGCGGGGTCAACGTTCAGAACCACTGCGGCGGTTGGAACGATGGCCGAATTTCCTGAAGACCCCCCCCCCCGCGCCCCCCCCCCCCCCCGCGCCCCCCCAACAATCGCTGTCCACCCAGCGGGTACTGAATGCGTGCGCCGCCAAAGTCTCAATTCGGTTGGCAGGTTGAGTGTAATGGGGGTCAAGTTTTGGGCAATTTTCCCCGCCCGGGCGTGGGAGAGTAGCGGCGACTTTCTCGCGGGGGAGAGAGACCCCTTCCCGCCAGCAAGTGGCGTGAGTGCGCAATTGCAGGGCGGCGCCTTTAACTGTTTTTTTACGTGGCTTGTTATCGTTAAAAGCTGACAAAAAACTAAATAAATTATTTTTTTGCCGGCTAAGGTCCCACTGAGCTGCGATGTACCTATGTTGCAGAAGCGACCTCGCCATCACACTTAATAGCTCAACGGAAGTGGCTTATCATCATGACGGGTACATTTATAGCAGCAGCCGAATACTCTGAACGCACGTGGTTGATTCTAAATGTGGAGTGAGTGAGACCCTGGAAAAAAAATCCACGCGACCACGGGGAGTGAGAGACAGAGAGAGAACACGCGAACTGTAAATACACAGCAGGTGTTCAGGTCTGGATCGAACCCACGACCTCCCGTATACCAGGCGAGGTAGGTAACATCTTGCCACCGTGACACCCTTACAACAGAGGTCGCAACCGGGTACCTGATACCCGGCTACCCGTACCCGGCCAGGTACGGGTAGCCGTTTACGACCCTGGTGCGGCTGGGTACGGGTACGGGTAAGGAATCAAAACCCGTTTGCGACCTCTGCCTTACAACCAGGATCTATAGGGCCAATTTAAAAGCCTCCCCCAACGTTAAGCAACGTCAGGGGCTGACCCACGTGGGTGGAGGGATATTTCATCGCGGTGGAATGCTCCTTGGCTCAGCCATGGACTGATGAGATCCAGACACGGCAGTGATCCACAACGTTTGTTTAAGACGAGATCGCGGCAGTGACGTGCGTACGTCCGTACGCATGTTGAACTTCTTTCGCACCATCGTACTTAGCCAACCGCGCTAATCGGAGGTGCGGGGGTGAGGGGGGGAGGACAACGAACTAAACACCAAAAGCAGTTCCAAAGGAATAATTAGTTTGTAAATCTTGATGATTTGAGAGTGCATAGCTCCAGTGGCTTCGTAATATCGGAAGGAAGATCGTTCCAGACGGCCGCAGACGTGCATCTGAAGGCACGCGATGTGCTTTCAGATTGCCAGCCAAAAAGCCACTGCAAGGATTACACTGGTAAACAAACAAAAAAAGCATTTTTTTCTGGCCTGGACTTTTGCAGCTGTTCTAGGCTAATTTCAGGGTGCTGATTCCAAATCTGATCTCAGATTTGCTCTATCACATCTCATTTTTATGCTATCGGCATACCCCATTTTCATTGATTTTACCCGAAATTAACTCTGTCACTTATGATTGCAAGTTGTTGCGAGTCAGTGACTGCTTTAGTGTTAAAATATGGTGCTGTATTTTTAGGATAGTGTGTTTATAATACAATTTTATCTAGATATCCACATTTATTTAATATTTTTCTTATTCAGTTTTGATTGAAAATGCAATATTTGATATCTCAAAAACGTGATGTGATAGACAAAAACTGATGCCAGATTAGGAATCAGCACCCCACAATTATCTTATAAACCGTTGGAATACCTTATGCCAGAAAAGTGTGTTGACCAGTGTTATCGGAGTTCGCGTGATGATTTATGCTCCTTGACGGGATCAACAAGGCAATCTTGGTTCATTTGTGGTGAGCAATGGGCATTTGCGTAAAATCCCCACCAACGTGGCTTTGAAACCAGGATCTCAACCCCTTGCGCAAGCCACACAAGGAGAGATGACATTCATAGCAGAACCATGAGTACTCTTGCATCGCGTGCTCAAGGTATGTTTTTGGCAACGGACCTAGACGGGTTACTCACGGATCCGAGCGCTGAGCAAGCATCGCGGAGATACGATATACGAAACCAAGTTTAATCCTTCTTGGTTCTTTCGGTAAAGTTACGTAGAATGGAAATAATAAAATAATAAAATAAAGCATTATAAAATAATTCTCACGACGTTTCTCTCGGTGGCGAGATGTTAACTACCTCTCCTGGTATGCAGGAGGGCGTGGGTTTGAGCCCGACCCTGACACCTGCTGTATATTGCTAGTGCCTCCTCCATCCACCTCCTCCATCCACCTCCTCCATCCACCTCCATCCACCTCCCTCTCCCTGGCTTTGTGATTGCCGATCACGTGACGTCGGATCAGAAGTGAATTTCTCGAGTAAAGATCACGTGGCTTCGGCTGCTGTTGCTTTTGCTGTTTCTTCTGTTCTTACTATTGCTGCTGCTTCTGCTGATGTTGCTTCTGCTGCTGCTTCTGCTATTGTTGATGTTGTTTCTGCTGCTGTTGCTTCTTCTGCTGCTGCTCCTGCTGCTGTTACTTCTGCTGTTGCTGATGTTGCTACTGCTGATGTTGCTGCTGTTACTTCTGCTGTTGCTGATGTTGCTACTGCTGACGATGCTTCTGCTGCTGCTGCTGATGTTGCTTCTGCTGCTGCTACTGATGTTGCTGCTGCTGCTGCTGATGTTGCTGATGTTGCTGCTGATGTTGCTTCTGCTGCTATTGCTTCTGCTTCTGCTGATGCTGCTGCTGATGCTGCTGATGCTGCTCCTGTTGCTGCTGCTGCTGATGCTGCTGCTGATGCTGCTGCTGTTGCTTCTGCCGCTGCTGCTGCTGATGCTGCTGCTCATGCTGCTCCTGTTGCTTCTGCCGCTGTCGCAGGGTGAATGCCGCGATGACGCGGGGCTACGAGGATGACGTGGGGAGCAGAACGAGCTTCTACTTCTTCAGCACCAACACGATGCGCAACTCGCTGGGCCGATTCCGCAAGCAGGGCTACACCTCGCCGCCCGACACGCCGGTACGGAGCACCTCGCCCTTCACTGCCCGTGCCCTTCACAGCCCGTGCCCTTCACAGCCCGTGCCCTTCACTGCACATCCCCTCCCCCCGTGAGCCACGGGCTGACCCTAGAGGCGCGATCCCGTACACACGGGACACGTGGAGTCCACGTCCTTCACACCTCCTCAATGCCCACGTTAAGGAGAGTTTCACGACAACATCTCTCGTGCGCGAAGCTGAGAACCCCTTAGAAATCTCAAAGTTCATCCTGCAAAGTCCCATCGCAATGGAGACAAACGCAAACAAATGGACAATTTCGATTTAAAGCTTTCGTGACTGCAGGGATTCATCTTTTTGGTTCTTTCGGTAAAGTTACGTAGAAGGGAAATAATAAAATAATAAAAATAAAATAATTCTCACGATGTTTCGGCCACAACGCAAGCAGCCGTCCTCAGGTGAAGAACAGTTCTGTCGGGGAGACAGCGTCTGAATGACACACCACCAGGCTTGGAGCGACTATTTAAGCTGGGATGGAGGGGGGAAGGGCGCCTTGACAAAATAATTTGTATATCAAGAGGAATTTAGCATATTTATGGGAAATGCAGATATGCGATTAGTACTACTTATTTCCATTCTACGTGACTTTACAGAAAGAACCAAGAAGATGAAATAGACGAACAATGTTATTTTTTCTCCCCCATTGAAACGGCCGTACGCCGTATGGACCTGACAACTCGCCACTTGACTCAGCTGCCTGTCTGTCTGCCTTGTTCGTCTTGTTCGTCTTGTGTGTGTTTGTGTTTTTGTTTCCTTTCCAAAATTTGGCCCGTCAATGTTTGTCGAGTTGGCTCTGGCAAAAAAAAAAAAACACCACCCGGCCACGCGGCCAAGTGTCCTGTGGCATCACGTGACTAGAGCCACGTGGCCCACAGGGGGGGGGGGGGTCACCTGGGGGAGTGGGGGTGGGGGGCGAGTGGGGTGGGGGTAGCCCCCGGGGGGAGGTGGGGGGGCATGACACCTGGTGCTGTTTGTTTACACGGCACGCGTGCGGCAGGGGAATGCTTATTGTGTAGCCCTACCCCTGTCTGTGAACCCCTACCAGCCCTACCCCTGTCTGTGAACCCCTACCAGCCCCTACCCCTGTGTGTGTACCCCTATCAGCCCCTACCCCTGTGTGAACCCCTACCCCTGTCTGTAAACCCCTACCAGCCCCTACCCCTGTCTGTGTACCCCTACCAGCCCTACCCCTGTGTGTGTACCCCTACCAGCCCCTACCCCTGTGTGAACCCCTACCCCTGTCTGTAAACCCCTACCAGCCCCTACCCCTGTCTGTGTACCCCTATCAGCCCTACCCCTGTGTGTGTACCCCTACCAGCCCCTACCCCTGTGTGAACCCCTACCCCTGTCTGTGTACCCCTACCAGCCCTACCCCTGTGTGTGTACCCCTACCAGCCCTACCCCTGTCTGTGTACCCCTACCAGCCCTACCCCTGTGTGTGAACCCCTACCAGCCCTACCCCTGTGTGTGAACCCCTACCAGCCCCTACCCCTGTCTGTGAACCCCTACCAGCCCTACTCCTGTCTGTGTACCCCTACCACCCCCTACCCCTGTCTGTGAACCCCTACCAGCCCCTACCCCTGTATGTGAACCCCTACCAGCCCTACCCCTGTCTGTGAACCCCTACCAGCCCTACCCCTGTTTGTGAACCCCTACCAGCCCTACCCTGTGTGTGAACACCTACTAGCCCTACCCCTGTCTGTGTACCCCTACCAGCCCCTACCCCTGTCTGTGTAGCCCCTACCCCTGTGTGTGAACCCCTACCCCTGTCTGTGAACCCCTACCACCCCTACCCCTGTCTGTGAACCCCTACCAACCCCGACCCCTGTCTGTGTACCCCTACCAGCCCCTACCCCTGTCTGTGTAGCCCCTACCCCTGTGTGTGAACCCCTACCCCTGTCTGTGAACCCCTACCACCCCTACCCCTGTCTGTGAACCCCTACCAACCCCGACCCCTGTCTGTGTACCCCTACCAGCCCCTACCCCTGTGTGTGACACCGCGGGAGATCGTGACGCCGCTCGTTGTCGCTTGCAGGAGACGCGCTACGTCTTCATCCCGGACAGCACACGTGACTACCAGATGGTGCAGGCCGCCATCACCAACACGCCCGTCACCTCTGGACGTGATCGCTCAAAGCTGTGAGGACCCCCACCGGTTCCCTTTCCACGTGCACATCGCTCCACACCTCCCTGCTTATACATCTTTAGCCAAGGCCGTCATCTTCTTGGTTCTTTCGGTAAAGTCACGTAGAAGGGAAGTAATGAAATAAAAAAAATTCAACATAATATAATAATAAAACATAATAAAATAATTCTTGCGACGTTTCGGCCACAACGCAAGCAGCCGTCCTCAGGTGAAGAACAGGTCTGTCGGGGATGAGAGCGTCTGACGCTGTCTTCACCTGAGGACGGCTGCTTGCGTTGTGGCCGAAACGTCGTGAGAATTTTTTTCATTATGTTTTATTTTTATTATTTTATTATTTCCCTTCTACGTGACTTTACTGAAAGAACCAAGGAGATGAATTCCTGCAGTCACGAAAGCTTTACATCGATATTCAAAACACATCCCCCCCCCCCCCCCCAATATTCAAATATGCTCAAAATGTGTCCCCAGCAATATATTGCTATAAAATAGATTTTTTTCATTATTGTGGTTATGGTTGTACTTTATTAATCTCCCTCCGCATGCATCTCGCAGGCCTCCCAGCTACTTTGGCAGCGCTCCGGGGCCTGAGAAGTTCAAAATGCTCCACCCCGACTTCTCCCGCTACCTACGGAACAGGTTCGAGGTTTTTTTCTTTCTCCTCGTTTCAACGCTTTTATTGAACTTGTTGAAGGTTTGCTCTGCCCGTTCTACTCGGGAGGGTCTCGTCTGGACCCCCCCCCCCCTCCGGCCGACTCCCCCCCCCCCACCCCCTCCCCACTCACTTCCTCCGCCATACAAGCTGGGAATCGTTCACCCCCCCCCCTCCCGCGTCGCTCTCGCCATGTGTTGTTACAACAACAACAGCAAAGCATGAATGTTCTACAGGAGCGATTTTTCCCATGTAAATGAGACAATAGATGATTTCTTTCCCCCCACCACTACCACTTCCCCGGGTTGTCAACACCCACCCACTACCACCCACCCACCCAACCACCCACCCACGCACCCACCCATCCACCACCCACCCACCAACCCGACCACCCATCCACCCACCCACCCGACCACCCACCCACCCACCCGACCACCCACCCACCCGACCACCCACCACCCACCCAACCACCCATCCACCCGACCACCCACCCACCCACACGACCACCCACCCACCCGACCACCCACCCACCCAACCACCCACCACCCACCACCCACTTTGTCCCTCGCGTTAGGAACCGCAGGTGCATGTAATCAATAATTTTGTTATATCTTAACTGCAAACTACTAAAAATAATATCACAAAGGTTTTCATTTTGGGGTGGGGTGTATGCCCCCTCCCCTCCATCTCCCTGCAAACTCCACCCCATGAGCGGGCGCTTTGTTCATGTGCACAGCAAAAAATTAAATAAAAGCATTTAAAAAGAAGGGTCTCGACCCGATCTTCAAAGACTTTCGTTTTAGTTTTATGATCAGGTAGGTCACCTGCCATATTTTTGCAGTTGGGGAGGGGGGGGGGAGAGGCGATGGTTTGGCCAGCGTGAGTTTTATTATTTTATTGGAAATGCCGGAGAACTGCCCGGCATGGAAAACTCGCACGCACAACAGGATGAGAGAGAGAACTTTTTTAAATTTTTATTTTACCAGCTAATGCTCCACTGCTAAGCTACGTAGATATTTTTCGGAAGCGACCTCGCGATCGCAAATGACAGCTCATCACCACGTGGAAATTTGTAGCAGCAGGAAAATGCTCTGAACACGTGGTGACGTTGATTCGAAATGTGGAGGGGGGGAAAAGCGGAGGAACCGGAGAAAAACTCCACGCGACCACGGTGAGAGAGAGAGCTAGAGAGACACGCAAATTCCAAATATACAGCAGCAGGCGTCGGGGTCGGGATCGAACCCACGACCTCCTGTACACCAGGCGAGGTAGTTAACATCTCCTAGCCACCGTGATGATGATGAGAGAGAGACACGCAAACTCCAAATATACAGCAGCAGGCGTCGGGGTCGGGATCGAACCAACGACCTCCTGCATACCAGGCGAGGTAGTTAACATCTCCTAGTCACCGTGATGATGATGAGAGAGAGAGACACGCAAACTCCAAATATACAGCAGCAGGTGTCGGGGTCGGGATCGAACCCACGACCTCCTGCACACCAGGCGAGGTAGTTAACATCTCCTAGTCACCGTGATGATGATGATAAGAGAGACACGCAAACTCCAAATATACAGCAGCAGGCGTCGGGGTCGGGATCGAACCCACGACCTCCTGCATACCAGGCGAGGTAGTTAACATCTCCTAGTCACCGTGATGATGATGATGAGAGAGACACGCAAACTCCAAATATACAGCTGCAGGCGTCGGGGTCGGGATCGAACCCACGACCTCCTGCATACCAGGCGAGGTAGTTAACATCTCCTAGCCACCGTGATGATGATGAGAGAGAGACACGCAAACTCCAAATATACAGCAGCAGGCGTCGGGGTCGGGATCGAAACCACGACCTCCTGCATACCAGGCGAGGGAGTTAACATCCACACATGAGTAAAGGCAACCGAATTGTGAATCGAACCCATGCCCCCCCCCCCCCCTTTCTAGCAAAACAAAAATAGGAAAACAATGAAAGGGAAGCTGGCGATGGTGGTTATTGAGTGACCCGTACACCGCATACACGCGCATAGCTGTTAACCCCTTATCAGCGCCCTCCCTTGTCACAGAACAATTCAGAACGTATTGGTCACCCCGTGCCCCCTTATACATCTCAACGTTCATCCTACAAAGTCCCATCGCAAGGGAGAAACACAAACGTATAGACAATCACCACTACTACACCCACCACTAGTACACTCACCACTAAACTCACCACTACACTCACCACTAGTACACTCACCACTTGTACACTCACCACTACACTCACCACTAGTACACTCACCACTAGTACACTCACCACTTGTACACTCACCACTAGTACACTCACCACTAGTACACTTACCACTAGTACACTCACCACTTATACACTCACCACCACTACACTCACCACTAGTACACTCACCACTAGTACACTCACCACTAGTACACTCACCACTAGTACACTCACCACTAGTACACTCACCACTAGTACACTCACCACTTGTACACTCACCACTAGTACACTCACCACTAGTACACTTACCACTAGTACACTCACCACTTGTACACTCACCACCACTACACTCACCACTAGTACACTCACCACTAGTACACTCACCACTAGTACACTCACCACTAGTACACTCACCACTACTACACTCACCACCACTACACTCACCACCTCTACACTCACCACTTCTACACTCACCACTAGTACACTCACCACTAGTACACTCACCACTAGTACACTCACTACTAGTACACTCACCACTAGTACACTCACCACTAGTACACTCACCACTAGTACACTCACCACTACTACACTCACCACCACTACACTCACCACTAGTACACTCACCACTAGTACACTCACCACTAGTACACTCACCAAGACACTCACCACGACACTCACCACTACACTATACACTACACTCATACATACCTGTCAACCCCTTATCAGTGTCCTACTTCATAACAGACCAATTCAGACAGTATTGGTCACCCCGTGCCCTCTTATAAATCTCAACGTTCATCCTACAAAGTCTCATCGCAAGGGAGAAACTCAAACAAATAGACACACATTTATTTTGCCCGTATTGAAACGGCTGTACGCCGTATGGAACCATACCTGTCAACCCGTTGTCATTGCCCTACCTTATTACACACCAATTCAGACATCATTGGTCACAATGACGACTGCGACGTTTTTAAATCCTTTATATTAAGTTCGCATGCTTGCTTGCTTGCGTGCTTGCTTGCTTACGACCGTGCAAATCTTTCAGTCGTTTTTTAACCCACTTCCCGTGATCCAATCGAGCTGACATTTTCCACACAGACTCGTTGTGACAGACAATTAATGTTCGTGAAAAAAAATTCCCCAAAATTTTACACTTTTTAGGCAAAACATTTTTATTTTACATATATTCAAATAGAACTCATTCATCGCTTTGGCTGAACGTCAGAGTGTAAGAGCCCAGAGCGTAACCCCTCCGCAGGCCGTGGCGGAGTAGCGCAGTTGGTAGCGCCCTCGTTTCCCATGCCAAAGGTCGCGGGATCGATCCCCGCGTCCTCCACAGGCGAATATATTTTTAAATCCTTTATATTAAGTTCGCTGCCATGCATATAAAGGATTTATAGTGAAAAACTTTGTTTTTACGGGTTATACTTTTTTATCCCCCACAGATTCATGATGTCCTCGCGGCTCAAGGGGCGTCTCCGCATCATCTACAGGCCCAGCACGGGAGCCATGATGCTGCTCACCGCACTGCACACATGCGACGTGGTGAGCTGCTCCAGAAACTAAAGGCATTTTTCTTTTTTTAAACTAAAACTTTTTTTAAAAATCCTTTATATTAATCATAATCAACGTGTTAAACCTTCATATTAAGTTCGCTTGCGCGCTTACGACTGTGCAAATCTTTCGGTCGTTTTTTAACCCACTTCCCGTGATCCAATCGAGCTGACATTTTCCACACAGACTCGTTGTGCGTGACAATTAATTTTCGTAAAAAGAATTTCCAAAATTTTACACTTTTTAGGAACAAAAAATTACATGTAATTACCAATTGCTTAATGGTGCCAAGCAATCATCTGACCTATAGGTGGCAGCCATCTCAAGCCAAAGGACGAGAGGACTCTAGCCGCCACGCATATAAAGGATTTATAGTGAAAAACTATTTTTACAGGTTAATTTTTTTTTCTTTCTCCCCTCCAAATTTCGAATCAACATCACGCTTTCAGGGTGTACGGCTGCTTTACATTTCCACATTATAACTGCCACTTCGTTGAGCTGTTTTTGTGGACAGGTCTCTTTTGAAAAAGAGCTGTATACAGTAGCTCAGTTGGCCTTACCTGGTCATGTAAAATAATTCCAGATTTGAAGTTTTCGTGACTGCAAGGATTCATACTCTTTGGTTTTTTCGGTAAAGTCACGTAGGTAATGACTTCTTGTCTCGTTGTCTGTTAAAAGCTCTAACGGATAAGTGGAAATCCTCCCCATATTGGGCATTAATTCCAGATTTGAAGTTTTCGTGACTGCAAGGATTCGTACTCTTTTGTTTTTTTGGTAAAGTCACGTGACTTTACCGAAAAAACAAAGAGCATATAAAATAATTTAGTAAACCCCCATCACCACCCCTACCCCTATCACCAAACCTATTACTACCCCAACCCCTCCTTAAGCACTCACACCTATCCTCCTAACCGTCACCACAGTTAAACAACCACTTTGAAGAACAACAACCCCACAATTTATTTAAACCACTATCATCTAATGTACAATTTTAATTATTATTGTAAAACGCATTGGACTCTTAAGACGCTATATATATATACATCTATATAAGATAAGAATCGATTCTTGCATTGAATTGTAGGCCTCAGTCATGATGAGGATGAATCGTTATTTAACGGTTGGGTCAATCCTCGCGATCGGCTGGGTCATGAAGCCCGCATGCCCAGCCACCGCATGCCCAAGCAGCTTCTCTATCGCCAGATAGAGGGGCCTAAACGGGCACGACACGGGCTGGAGAAGAGATGGACTGATGCGGTACGGGAGGATGTGGAGCTGAGTGGACTTGCCGACGGTACCACTTGTGTCAAGATCAGCGTCCATGGAGGAGGCTCGTGAAAGACGCTACTGCTGCTACTGAGCAGTTGGAGGCAGTTGCCTTCCAACAACAATGGAGGGCAGAGGAGCGACCTTCACAACAATGAGGGGAGCACCTGGTGGCTGAAATGCAGCAAGTTGGCACAGTAGGGGGCACAGCTGGTGCATGAGCCAGTCATCTCCATCGGTCAACCCATGGCACCTGCTGGGTCTGTCCCGTGATCTCCTGCGTCAGTGAAACCTTCGATAAATCACGTGACGGCCTCAAAGTGCACCTGGCCTGGCACAGGCGCCGTGGTGACATCACCGTCGGTTACGTGGTGGACTGACGGTTGTTTGGTGGCCTTGTTCCCTTCCTCGCTGTCGTCGCCGTTGCTGCTGCTGTCGCTGTCGTGACCGCCGTGTGTCCGTGTCTCCCAGGTGGACGCCTACGGGTTCCTGACCAAGGACTACGCCAGGTACTCGTGCTACTACTACGACAAGGTGAAGCGCGGCGTGCCCTTCGTAGCCAACCACGACATGAAGCTGGAGCTGGTGCTGTGGGCGCGCCTGCACAAGTCCAAGATGATCCGACTCTACATGGGAAAGGGCAATTGATGCGTGACGAACTGCGAAGCGCGCTGAAGAGTGGTGGGGTAGGGGGGGGCGGGGGGTTGGGGCCCGACACGGAGCATCGGGTTTGGTGGGGGGGGGGGGCTTGGGGAAAAGTGTTCGTCGAACTGTCACTCACCCGCCCACCCGCTTCGAGCCGCAAACTTGGCCGCGTTTATTCTTGGCCGTGGTTAAGTTGCCGCGGTTATTCCGGAGGTCGGTTCCTGCGGACGACGGAGCCGGGCTCGGAGGCGGAATGGCAGAGCGGCGGGTGGGTTCAGGGGGCGTCTCCGGCAAAACGCGGCGCTCACCGTGAAGCAGTGTGCCAGTGCCTACCAGCCAGGACGCGGTTTAACCGGTGTTTAGAAGCCCTAATTATTATTATTATTGTTTTTCTTATTGTTACGACGATTCTGCTGAGTCTCAAGACTTATGTTTTCCTTTCCTTAGCATCCATCCTCCGACAAAGTCGGTGGAGAGTTTTAGGCTTGGCCTTGAGTCTTGGAGGCCAGCACGTGCCATGGCCTCAATATAACAAAAAAAATAGTTTTTTTTTTGTTAGTTTAACACATAGCAACGTTTTTGGATTTAGATCGCGTTATTTATAAATGTGTCGTAACCCTCCACCACCCGACACGGCCAATCAGTAAAAAAGTGTCACGTTGACAAAAGACAAATAGTTAACTGCTTTAGCCCACCGGTGTGTTGAAGCCACAACATTTACAATTTGAGTACGACGTTTCGCTGGTAATTGCATCCAGCATCATCGGGCATGGTGAGGCTCTGCTGTGTCTCCCGTCCTTATATAGAGCAGCAGCAGGGTGACGTCATCATTTTTTTTTTTGCTTCTCAAAACGCTGGAGAATTTTCAACGCTCGCAGATTCATACACGGAGGCGCGGGGAAACTGCAGATGAGCTGGAAGGCAGTCAAAACTGACACTGTAAAGTGAGAGAAGGGGTCTGAAATATGGAGGTGTTAAGTTTTGATAGTTAATAGCGGCTGTGTCATGCCACACCCAGGGTAACCGTTTAAAGTAGGTGTGTCGAATAAGGTTATCCTGGGCATTTCCGTGCTCATTTAAGCAGTTATGGATCAGGAATAGAGAGAAATTATAGAATTTTTGAATGCATGCTCTACTCCATGCTTGACTCCATGCTTGACTCCATGCTTGACTCCATGCTCTACTCCATGCTTGACTCCATGCTCCATCCCATGCTGTAGGAGATTGCCAGCAGAGGATTGCCAATAGGACCGTACACGCGTACACCCTGCACTCGCGTTTTCGCAGAGTACCTATTTATTAAGACTCGAGGGAAGTCGAGGGAAGTCGAGGGAAATGCTGACGCCTTTAAGCTTGTTGACAATTTAAAAGATGGAAAAAATTTGTTTCTTTTCAATTAATGTTTTATAAGATAACGGGGGGAGGCGGGGGGGCGGGGGGTAGCAACTTAACTGTATTTTATTAAGTAATGACAAAAGAGGTTTACGTCTTTAGTAGTGTATTAGCACGATGACTTCACAACTGTCAACCCATACGGATTTAGTCGTATTCTTGTCCAGGGAAATTGAGTTTTCAGGTCCGTATGGCGTACAGCCGTTTCAATACGGGCAACATTTTCTTTTATATTCGTTTGTGTTTCTCCCATGTGATGGGACTTTGTAGGTTAGAACGTTGAGATTCATAAGGGCACGATGGTGACCTACAACGTCCAAATTGGTCTGTAATAAGGTTGGGGCACTGATAAGGGTTTGACAGGTATGCGCTCGTGTGTTGGAGAGTACACCCGCGACGTTTACACCTCGAGTGCTGTGACATTTTCGCCGGCAATTGCAACACCCCTGGAGCCCATCGGGCGACAGACAGAATTGCGGAGAAATCCTCGACTCCACGTGTCCGTCCTTAAATCGAGGTAGGGGGTAATGTGATGCCGTTACTGTGGTCCAATCAGACCAGAAGCGGCGGCGGCGGAGGTAAAAGTATATCATGTAATTTACAACTCATGCGTGCCAATGTGTCAGCGTCGTTGTATACACAACCAGGCATCATCGTCTTCGTCACCCGCGCTTCGTTTTACCCGAGGAGAGACTCACCCGAGCTCCCAATGTTCGTTTACAGGAGCGGTCCTGCCAAGTTGTAACAAGTAGAGAGGAGGCGGCGATGATGATGAAGCTGCTGCTGCCCGTTTGTACTGCCACTTGAGTAATTTACGAGTCATTTGAATGTGTTTTGGCCGATGCCAGCTACGTTGTGTACCGGGGAGCGGTGGTGTAGCGGTTAGCGCTACGCTGCGCTACGAACTTGGAGACCCGAGTTCGATTCCCGCTCACGGCCAACACCAGTGACGATTATCTGAACCGGTTTTGGGCCTCCCCTAGGTCGACTCAGCCTCAAATGAGTACCCAGTGCGATGTGTAGTAAACATAGCCACTAGCGAGAAAAAGGCGGTCGGTCGTGTGGTGCTGGCCACCCCAAACCCCCTCGTGTGCCGTTCTGGCCTTCATAGGTGCTCGCTGACAGCACTTGCTCCAACAGTCTGTTAAGGCTATACGAGGGGGGGGGGTCTTTGTCTTTGTGTGAACTGCTCGTTGAGTCAATTTCGATTAACTTTTCATCAGGTGCTTGGCACGAGTGTTACCACCATGCCAGCCAACGACGAAATCGTGTGATCAGTAATCCCTATAGGTGGGTTGTGGTGGTGTAGACAGAATGGGTGAATTCTGATTAATGTAATGCTTTAACGTTGTTTTTTAATACCATTTGATGTTTTCGGTAAAGTCACGTAGGTATGAAATTAAATGAATCACGACGTTTCGGGCGCTTGTGTTGCGCCCGAAACGTCGTGATTTATTTTATTTTTACCCACGTGACTTACCGAATGAACCCAAAGAATATGGCTTCCTGCAGTCACGAAAGTTTAAAATCAAGGTTTTTAAAATTATTATTTAAAATGTGTCGAATCGTCGTCGGTCGTCGTCCGCGCAAATTGCACCTCGCAATCCGGCAGGCAGCACCAAGTGAAGCCGGCGCTGACAACAATCGGCACCAAGCTCTGCAGTCCTCTACATATTAAGATGTTCGCAAGCCAATCAATGCGTGTTCATACCATTCAATGAGTTCTCTTGATCTTCTCCGCTATTAGGCTATGAAAGCGACCAAACGACTGTCTCGATAGACCTTCATACTGTTTAACATGGTGTTAGAATCGATGTGAAATGACGTAACTGCTGGATTGTTGTTTGAAACAAAACGTTGTTGAGCTGCTACCGTAACAGCTGTTGTTGTTGGGGTAGGCGGCCACGCAAATGTTTACATGGCGTGCAATAAACCCACGTGATTCCAGGCCGTCACAAAAAATCAGTAGCTGGTTTATATCTTACTTATTTAATTATTTCCTGGGGGATGGAGGGGTTGGCACGACAAGCGTGGAGGTGAAGTATGGGGGTCAACACCATCTACCCCCCGCCCCCTCTCCCCTCCTCCGCCCCC